TTAACAAGTTAAGAAAACCCCAGAGAACAAAAGGATTTGTCAGTTAAAAAATAGGAGGGAGAGTTATTAAATGGAGGGTTTGAGGTATTGGGAAGAGGAAGGAATTTTTGAGGAATTGTTAATGTTTATGAAGATAGGGAAGTTGGGTTTCGTGTATAGGGGAAGGAGGGAAAAACATCTTGTAGGAGTGGGAAGACCCTTGTGAGTGTGGGGGAAATCGTGAGGCATAGGTAAAATGAAAAGGGGGGAAGCAGCCCGGGTTGATGGGAAAAAGATAGAAATGTTAAAAGCAGGTGGGAATAGTTTTGGAGGGTTTGGGGCAATTTTTAATAAATGTATTGGGAAAAAGGTAAGGTACCTAGGGATTGGGAGAGAGCATTCATAGTTCCCTTTTTATAAGGCAAGGGGGATAAAAAAGAGTGCAAAAAATTATAGGGGGTAATCTGTTGAGTGTACCTGGTAAAATGTATGGAGAGTTTTAAAAATTAAAGAAATTTGAGTAAAACGGAAATAGGAAGCAGTGAACAAGGAGGCTTTTTGAAAGGTAGGGGGGTGTGGACCAGGTTTTTTACAGTTTTAAAAATATAAGTGAACGTATTTAGATGGCAAAAAAAGGCTTTTTTGGCATTTATGGATTTTGGAAAGGCGTATGCCCGGGTGGATGGGGGGCAAAAGTGGGAGATGTTGCAAGGTTGGGGTAGGAGGAGGTTACCGAAAGCATGAAATTTTTTTTCAGGATGTGAGGGTCAAGTTGGGGTATGTAGGGAAAAGGGAAATTTTTTCCCCGTAAAAGTAGGGCCCTTTGGCAAAAGGGTGTGTGATGTCACCCTGGTTTTTTAATTATTTTAGATGGGTTGTAAGAGAAGTAAATGCGGGGTTTGGCAAAAGGCGTGGAGTTAAAAGTAAAGAATCACACACAAAGGGGAGTTTCACAGCTGCTCTTTGTGATACACTGTGCTCTTGGGGGATTCTGAAGAAAGTTGCAGGATTGGTGGATGAATTTGGGGGGGTGGCAAAAGAAGAAAAATTTAAAAGGGGAATAAGGAAAAAAAGTAAGGTTTTGAGGATAAAAAAAAAATTTTGGTGATAAAGATTGAATATCGATTGGAGGGAGAGAGTATGGAGGGGTGAACGTATTCAGATATTTTGGGAGGGCGTCTAGCAGATGGGGCTATGAAAAATGGGTGAATCAAGAATTTATGAGGGAAAAAGAGTGAGTGGTTGCCTTTGGAGTCTGTGGGACAAAGAACTTTGTCCTTGGAGGGAAAAAGGGGGAATGTTGAGAGTATATTTTACCCCAAACCCCTTATAGGGTGTGAAGGTGGGTTGAATGTTGCAGCGAGGAAAGGCTGGAGGGAGGGGATTTTTGTCTGAGGGGAATGGTGGGTTTAATTAAGCAGAGAATTGTAGTTTGGAAGTTGGGGGAGGGCGGGGATTTTAAAACTGTTTCCAGAGGGCTGAGGGGGTTGTTGGGTGGTTTGGCATGTAGAAGAATGGAGCGAAACAGAATTCTTCAAGAGTGTACGTCTGTAGTGGAAGGAAGGCGGGGTAGGGGTCGGCCTAGGAAGGGTTGGAGGAGGGGGTAAAGGGGTTTTGTGTGCAGGGGCTTTGGGCTTCCAGCAGGCATGCGGGGAGCGTGTTTGATAGGAGTGAATGGGACAAATGGTTTTTTTAAAACTGACGTGCGTTGGAGGTGACAAAATAACATTTATGAAGGGATTCAGGGAAACCGGCAGGCCGGGCTTTGGCCGGAGATGGGAAGTACAGTGCCCGCACTTGAAGGGGGTGTTTAAGTTTTTCAGTTTAAAAACGTAGGTTAAAAACCCCTTTTGGCAAGACGGATGGAGTGAAAGATGGTGAAATTTTTCTTTTTCGGGCCACCCTGCCTTGGGGGGAATCGGGCCGGGGTGATAAAAAAAAAAAAAATAATTTAGGGAAACCGGTTATTTTCAATAGTGGCTTAGTCCTGAAAAAAAAGGGGAAATACAATGCCTCACTTTAAAGGAGGGGTTTGGGATATTGGCGTTTGGAGGGGTTGTTTTGTATCTTTTTAAAAGTTATGCTTCTAGACTGTTGTATTCTGACACCTCTGCAAAAAAAAGTGATTTGTGGAGTGTGGTGAAAAAGTTGAATATGATTTTAAATTTTTCTTTTTTGGGGGGTTTTTTTTCTTTTTTGGGTCACCCCGCCCCAGGGGGAGACGGCCGACTTTTTAAAAAAAAAAAAAAAAAAAAAAAAAAAAAATGTGCGTGTCTTTTAAGTGTACCAAAGTGTAAGTGATAGCAAGATTCCTGTATCTAGCTTGTTTATGAGACGAAAAAGAAACCCGCAATCCCACCATTTGCAAAACAGTTACAGGTTTCTATTTTACAGTCATTGGCGGACGGTATACTTCCTGGGTGGTTCTGTCTACCAACCCAAAGCTGTTGTATTCTGGGACCCCTGCAAAAAAAAGTAAATTTTTGTGAGTGAGGGGAAAAGTTTGAATGTGTGAAAGTATTTTTTTTTGGGGATTTTTCTTTCTCTTTTTGGGGGACCCCGCCTCAGTGGGGATGGCCGATTTTGAAAAAAAAAAAAGGTTCCCTTTCAAAAAAGAGGGTAACTAATGTGACATTTTATTTTGGAAATGTTTCGCTCTCCAGTAGGATTCTCAAGGATGTTCAGAGGTTTTGTGGGAAATTTTGGAAAACATGTAATAGAAGAAAAAAAAATTTTACCATAGGAAAAAAACAAAGGGGACAACTAAAAAAAAATCTAGGCAAAAAAAGATTGGGTTCAGTAGGGAAGGAAGGAAAATTTGGGGGGATGTAAAGTGTTCGTTTTGGTAGCCCTTTTTTCTAGAAGAGGGTGAAATGTAGGGAAAAGATGGTGGGAAAAAAAATTATTGGGGGCATGCTGAGGATCTATGAAACATTTTTTTGCCCTGAGGCAAAATGAGGGGTTTAACTGGAATTTTGGTACAACACTGTTATATAGATGTGAAGATGGGGTTTTAAATCATGCAGAAGGGGAGGCGGGGACAGTGAAGATGTCATGTTTGAAGCAATGCATGTTGTGAAATATTATGAAAAAAATTCAGTGCTTTGGGGATTTGAAGGTGTGAAGTTGCTAAAATTTATTTAGAGGGGCCCAAAAAGGGTTGTTGAGTGGGTTTTGGGTATGTAAGAGGTGGAGAAATGGATAAACCGGGGGGGGTAAAATTTGGGGTGCAAGGAAAAAGTGGTAAGGTTGTCCCGGAAACTTGAAGGCGTAGAGAGTCATTTTTGTGATTTTAATGTGTGGGGTGACATTTAAGGAAGTGGAAGACGGTATGGGAGTCACCAAGTTATAAATTTAGAGGGTTGGGAGGGGGTTTTTGAGTTGGTTTGGGGGTTTTAAAAAGGGTGGAGATGAAGGATGATGAAGTGGTGTATTAATTTATGGGTGGAAGGGCAAATGATGGGAATTTTTTTTTTTTTTTTTTTTTTTGGGGGGGGGGGGGATTTATTCTACCTTGGTAGGAAAAAAACTAGTTTTAATACTAAATTAAAATAATATTTGGCTGGAACAATCAACCAAATTTCCAAAATTGCCCGTGGAGTATGAACACTGGCTGAAGTTTCCCCGAACCTCAGCCAATCATCTTAATCTTTTTTGGTCAAGAACCATTTTTGAAGCGTAAAAAATCAAACTGATTTAAAGGGATTCTTACCTTTTACACAAAGCAAAATTTAATCTTGGGTAACTGTGCTGCATTTATACTTTTCAATTATATATTCACTTAAAGGCACAGCACTGGTACAAAGCACTTTTACTATTTGTTTGATTTATTTTGGTAAATAAATGTAGGTTTTTATATACCAATTATGACTGATCAAGACAGATGTTCACAATTATTTTTAGTTTATATTTTCTTTGGGAAGGAGGAGGTAAAGGAGGTCTTGTATATAAGAGGGTTTGGACATCCAATAGGTTTGTGTGAGCATGTTAGATAGGAGTGGAGGCAAATGATTTTTATGACTTGACATGCTTTGGGAGTGCGAGCAAGGTAACATTTATGAAGGGATTCAGGAAAACTGGTTAACCAGATTCGAATACTGGAGGCGAGAAGTACAGTGCCTGCACTCTGAAGGAAGAGCATCTGAACTGTAGTATCAGCATGTCTCTGGCAAGACAATGATGGAGTGATGGTGAAATATTTCTTCTTTTTTTTGGGGGGGTCACCCTACTTCAGTGGGAGACAGTCAATATGTTAAAAAAAAATATGCTTTGGATGTTTTTAAATTAAATATATTTATGCATGACATGAAAATACACACAGCAACATGTTTTATCAAAGTAGCAGCAGGTGTACACACACCCGGTGGCCTGGTGGCTAAAGCTCCCGCTTCACACACGGAGGGCCCGGGTTCGATTCCCGGCGGGTGGAAACATTTCGACGCGTTTCCTTACACCTGTTGTCCTGTTCACCTAGCAGCAAATAGGTACCTGGGTGTTAGTCGACTGGTGTGGGTCGCATCCTGGGGGACAAGATTAAGGACCCCAATGGAAATAAGTTAGACAGTCCTCGATGACGCACTGACTTTCTTGGGTTATCCTGGGTGGCTAACCCTCCGGGGTTAAAAATCCGAAAGAAATCTTATCTTATCTCACACACACACACACACATCACACACCACACACACACACACACACACACACACACACACACACACACACACACATACACACACACCTGGTTCACTAATGATGGTCACTGCCTCACACAAAGTCAATGAACCCACAATGGCTGTTAAGGGGAGAATTAATTTTTTTTTGGCATTAACTGAATCAGCGTTCTGCAAATATTCATTAAGTGGTGATCAAATGTATTTAGTTTACTTCTTTATAAAATATTCTGCACAATTATATGCATTTCTAAATGAACATAAATTACTAACCCCTCATAACAATATTCACATACCTCTAAAAACAAAATTATTTATTAAACAATGTTAAAATCCATAATTAAAAACAACTACATTATGTCAAAGAATATTTCTTCAGAAAACAAAATATATACTGTGCTATACATAAAATAACAAATTATTAGTATTTGGTAGATAAGTAAATAATAAACTAACCACAGGAGAGCCATATAAGCAGTACTATCCACTGGGTTGACCAACACGTGTCCCTCTAGTTGAGGTGTAGGAATGTCCAGCCACAGAAAAAGTGTGTCGCTGGTGCCCAGGCTGACAACCACATCACCACTTCCCACACACATACCTACAACATAACATTATATTGTATATACTGCAGTTAAATAAAAAAACAACTGTCTACAACTACCTTATTTCTGACATACTGACTTTGAGAAAATCTTATGAACTAATACAGTACAGTGATGCAAGCTAACAGTTCTCATTAATATGGATGGGCAATGCAGGTACAGTACTGGTACATTACTGCACACCAAGAGATATACATTTCTTCTTGGCAATCTATATTTAAAGTTGCACAATATACTATAGAGGTTCTTGGCCACTGCTAAAAATACAAAAGCAGTCAATATTGCAAACTTTAAGAACCAGTCTGAAGATATCTTCCATTACAATGTTCTAAATTTTTCAATTTTATAACGTGTAAAACTATGTAGTAAGCTAAAATTAAAGAATATGTTTTCACCAGCTAGCGAGGCAGGATTGTCTCCTGTGAATGCAATCACAGCACAATCTGGATTGAAGCTGTATCGCTCCACAAAATATGAAGATACTGAGCCTAGCTTCTCTGAGGCAGGAACAGGCTTGCCTAGTTTTTCTGCCAGGCCTGGAGCACAAGCCTGAAATGAAAGTTAGTATGTCATTCTTGAAAACTGTTAAAAGATCACATCCATCTTGTCATGATAATATGTATGGTGTTCTGTGAAACTTTTCATTACTACCTACTATCACAGTTTTCTACAGAGAACATGAAAAGATCTTGCATCTTTGTTTTTAACTGTTTCCTTGCCTTTCATAAACCCCAACGTTTTTTTTATTTGACGTATTTGCTCTGGCCACTGTGGTTGTAGAATACATAATTCAACAATCTACTCTTAACTGATATATGAAGGTATGGTAAATGAACACTAGACACAAAACCCCTGGCTTATTGAAGTCCCCTAAACCTATACTCCCTCACCAAGAGGTTTTATCTAAGCTTACAACCATATCATAGTTCTTCTTCTTTCAACGTACCAGCTGTATCCCACCAAGGTGGGGTGGCCCAAAAGGAAAAGCAAAAGTTTCTCCCTTCAAATTTAGCAATATATACAGGAGAAGGGGTTACTAGCCCCTTGCTCCCGGCATTTCAGTCGCCTCTTACGACACGCATGGCTTACGGAGGAAGAATTCTGTTCCACTTCCCCATGGAGATAAGAGGAAATAAACAAGAACAAGAACTAGAAAGAAAATAGCAGAAAACCCAGAGGGGTGTGTATATATATGCTTGTACATGTACGTGAAGCTTGGGTTGTGAATGCAGCAGCGAGGAGGCGGTTGGAGGCAGTGGAGATGTCCTGTCTAAGGGCAATGTGTGGTGTAAATATTATGCAGAAAATTCGGAGTGTGGAAATTAGGAGAAGGTGTGGAGTTAATAAAAGTATTAGCCCGAGGGCTGAAGAGGGGGTTGTTAGGTGGTTTGGTCATTTAGAGAGAATGGATCAAAGTAGAATGACATGGAGAGCATTTAAATCTGCAGGAGAAGGAAGGCGGGGTAGGAGTCGTCCTCAAAAAGTTGGAAGGAAGGGGTAAGGGAGGTTTTGTGGGCAAGGGGCTTGGACTTCCAGCAGGCATGCATGAGCGTGTTCGATAGGAGTGAATGGAGACTAATGGAATTTGGGACCTGACAATCTGTTGGAGTGTGAGCAGGGTAATATTTAGTGAAGGGATTCAGGGAAACCGGTTATTTTTATATAGCCGGACTTGAGTCCTGGAAATGGGAAGTACAATGCCTGCACTCTAAAGTAGGGGTTCAGGATATTAGCAGTTTGGAGAGATATGTTGTGCATCTTTATACGTATATGCTTCTAAACTGTTGTGTTGTGAGCACCTCTGCAAAAACAGTGATTATGTGTGAGTGAGGTGAAAGTGTTGAATGATGATGAAAGTATTTTCTTTTTGGGGATTTTCTTTCTTTTTGGGTCACCCTGCCTCGGTGGGAGACGGCCGACTTGTTAAAAAAAAATATGTATGTGTAGTGTGACCTAAGTGTAAGTATAAGTAGCAAGACATACCTGAAATTTTGCATGTTTATGAGACCGACAAAAGACACCAGCAATCTTACCATCATGTAAAACAATTACAGGCTTTCGTTTTATACTCACTTGGCAGGACGGTAGTACCTCCCTGGGCGGTTGCTGTCTACCAACCTACTACCTAGATATCATAGTTAATCCTACCATAATAGTAAATTGACTGCTTTTGTCAACTTGCATTTCTTTGCAATTACTAAAGGCAGTATAACACAATTACAGGTACTTCTTCAACAGCTCTTTGCACAATTCCCACACCTCCCTCACATCTTTTAAAACAAAGCCGATTTATTTTACAAAGAACAAGACTGTATAGTCAAATTGTAGGCATATGAGGCAGGGAGGCTGAAGAAAAGGGTCAAAAGGAAAGATGACACAGCAGCCTCCCTGGGACTACAAAACTGAACATTTTCAGGGTAAAAACTATCTTTTTTTCAGAAGCTCTCTGAAGTCCAGTGGTTATTTGTGTTCAAGATGTGTTTAGTTTTGATTTAATATAATTTGCTAAAACAAAAAGGACTAACATGTTTTAGTTACTCGTATGGTGGTTTTTGTACTAGTTTATGCTACCTCCCAATAAAGTGTCACCCTATATGCCTATGAATCAAATAACTACAGCAAATCAAATATGTAGCTCTTTTTTGTGTTAAAGATAAAAAGTGCATTTAAGTATGATAATTCTGTCCATGAAGGAAAATGAAAAAAATCAGAAACAAACTTACATCCAGACAGGCTTGTGACCAAGTCTTTGTGTTTAAGTCAAGCAAATTCATGCCCGAGCCGTCAGCAAAGTCAATTGGAGCATAGCTACCCAAAAACAAGGAACAAGCAAAACTGCTCACAAGAGAAATCCTCTGAAACATAACATTATTATTAGTCAAGCCAAATTAGCCATTTCTTTCCAGAAATTATATTATTTTTATAAAAATGTTTTATGATGAAAATATTTAAGAGCTTTAACAATGACTTATCTCATAATATTTGAAGATAAATATTTGTTAATACAATAAAACAGACACAGCAAGTAAGCCTAACTTCGACCACTTGACATGTAAGTATAGTAACAGTTATTAGCTATGTGATAACTAGTGTTATTGCAGTTATCACATTTTTATTTTTTTAAACATTACTAGATGTTGGTCTGGGAATACCAAGGATTTACTGAAATAAGACATACTGTGCCAGACTATAACTGAAATTACCTGGGCAACAACAGTGCCATTACATAAAATGAAACCTTACTTCAGTGTTACTGTAGGCCTCTTTACGCGTCTTGTAAATTTTTGCAATTTGGGATCCTGTAAACCTCTCATATGCACGTGAACCAGTGATGTTGGCAAGTTTCTGAAAAAATAAATAAATAATAAATTATTACAAGCCTCGCAAGAGGTGCAATATTGTTTACTCTACACATGTATTCAAACATTCCTACCAAAAGCCGCTTTGGCTTACTATTGTATTTCCAAATGGAGTACAGCAAAATGAGACCAATTCTGCTGAATTCAGACACTAAACTATAATTACATGTTGCAATCCTTATTTAAATACATGTACTGGCATTACTATGAAGTAGTTTGTAAATACTACTTTTAGTTTACTCAGATTGGTTCATATAACAAGGGGCTTTCCAAGGAACGTACAAAAAGATGTAATCCCATAGTTCAACCATCATTATGTAATTCTTGTAAATATAATTTGTCTTTGATATTAAAAAGTGCATTTCAATTGATATTTGCATTTCAAATAAAGTACAAAAGCTTTTCCAAGAAAGTCTGACAATGGACTCACAACAAAAAATAATTTTTTTTTTTAACACACTGGCCATCTCCCACTGAGGAAGGGTGACCCAAAAAAGGAAGAAACGCTTTCACCATCATTCACAAAATCACTGTCTTTGCAGAGGCATGCAGATATGACAGTTCAGGTGTCACTCCAAACAGCAATATCCTAAACCCCTCCTTTAAAGCACAGGAAGTGTACTTTCTCCCTCCAGGACTCAAGTCCGGCTAACCAGTTTCCCTGAATCCCTTCACAAAATATTACCCTGCTTACACTTCAACAGACTGTCAAGTCCGAAAAACCATTCACCTCCAATCACTTCTAACACTAACATTAACATGCATGCACGCACGTTGCTATATATTATGTATATTAGACTGCACAAGTTACCTGAGGACCTCCAACTACTTCCTCCAGAGCTTGACACTGAGTGCTAGTTGAGGAGTCCATCCAGACTGGCGAGTCAGTGATACTGAAGGCCATAGCCAGCTGCTCATGGAGGAAGCGGTCAGGCTGCACTTCCAGCAGTGTTTTGCTAGCACCAGTCCTCCAGTATACACTACCGTGTTGCTGCAAATATAAATTAACGTTACATATACAGTATCCATAAGTTTAGGACTGCAAGTAATAAACTGCAGAAATTCTTAAAACTAATGGTAACAAAAAGTACTAAATTGAAGACTACAGAAAAGTATCTATTCTCTAAAATCTGAAGAACATATATGTACTATCAGAAACATTAAAGAAAAAATTCCAGGCATCCAATAAACAATTTGTTTTATCAGTATTCAGTCTTTTAAGTGTTTTCAACAGATCAAGACAATGAGCAAATCATTTTAAATTGTGACTATTCAAGTTGAGAAAACCTTACGACCTTCTGCAGTCCAGTGGACTAAGGCAAAGAGTGGCAATTCCTGACCATGGGTTTGAATCCCTTTCCTATGTTGAATTATTACATTCATTCATTACTGATTTCCAGCCAATTTGTCAAAGTACACTACAGAATTTCTATATGATACTTTTGTTACTTCTGTTACAGATAGCATCTAATCCCTTTTTCAAGATAAGGTTATAAGTATGACCACAGTTTTTAAAGGGGTGGACCGGTTAGCCAGCAGAAGGCCTCGGTCAGATGACCAAAAGCTCCGGCTGTGGGTCATCATATGACTAAGACCCGTGTCAGGAAACACTTGTCCTGTTTCCTGCCAAACCTTACCAACCCAACCAACCTTTTTAAGAGTTATGTTATACAGTATATACAGAACTCATCATTAAAATACACCAGATGGAAGGCACCTAGCATACTTCAATATCCACAGTAATACCCTACCCTGGTAGTTTGTCAATGAGACAAAAAGTTATACTGGCCTTGTAATTCAAAGCAGGACATCTCAGGGTTCCCTAAGGCTACTGAGTGGATCTTAAGTATCTTCTAGGCTTGTGTGGTGGATGGTTTTTCTATCAGTGGTACTCTGTGCCATGTGGTCTTGAGGGCCAAGTTTGTTGGACAAGCACAAAGATCATCAGATTACATAAGGTAAGTCATCAAACAAAGGAAATAACAGAAACCACTGATTTGTGTGAGTGTCCAGTGAGGACCTGGCTGCATTGGTTTCTTGAGGACAGTGTTGATCATGTACCCACACCAAAAGCACATCCAGGGAAGCCTCAAAAAAAAATGTACCCACTAATTTTACCTATAATAATAATGTGCCTAAACTTGCTCTATTATCATTTGCCAGAGTGTTTCAGTGTGGTGCAAGGCTTTCATTGCAAGACAGTGCCTCCTGCCACACCACAAAAATCTGTTGTTCAGTGGCTTCATGCCTGTGAGATACCATTCTTCAATGACTGGCCAGGATATCCCGATCTGAACCACTAGGAATGAGATAAGATCATTAGGAAAGGATACAGACTGGTCACAACTTTAGGGTACCATATACAATCATGGAAAATTACCCACAAAAAAAGAAGAATGTGCATCACTCCTAGATGGTTACGATACATCTAAGTGCGAGAGACTTCTTTTTAGTGTCGTAGTTTAGAGGAGGGACTCGGCATTACTTGATGATGAGCACTTCACTTGAACCACAATGTTAAGCACCACAGAAAGTGAAGAATAAATGAAGAAACAGCATGGTGAAGACTTCAGTCTCTCAAGAAGTGCCAAAGATAAATGACCAGCAGAGATCATTAACTAAAACACATAAAGAAGTTATGACAGAAAATATCAGAGTAAACAATCTATGATAGAGATCACATAAGCATAATAGATACTATGCGAAGATTATCAGAGCACAAAAGTTACGACAGAAATAGTAAACATAACAAAACTTATGATGGAAGAATTATCACAAAGTTCAGAAGCTATAGGAGAAATCTCTTGCTTTGCCGTAAGTAATTTCTGCACAAGTTACAAGGCAAGTGCTCGGATGACTACTGAAATAATTTGTCATTGAGGCACAAACTTCATCTTTAGAATATCTGCCAAACAAAGGTTAAGTTGTCAGCAATGAGTAAGTATGTATGGCAGAGGGTACTGTTATCCCAGTGTATGTGCAGGAGGGTACTGTATCACAGTTGTATGCAGGAGGGTACTGTATCCAGTTGTATGTGCAGAGGACTGTTATGCCCAGTAGTATTGCAGGAGGTACTGTATCCAGTTGTATGGCAGAGGTAACTGTATCCCAGTTGTATGTGCAGGAGGGTACTGTATCCCAGTTGTATGTGCAGAGGTACTGTATCCAGTTGTATGCAGAGGTACTGTAATCCCAGTTGTATGTGCAGAGGGTATGTATCCAGTGTATTCAGAGGGTACTGTATCCAGTTGTATGTGCAGGAGGACGTATCCGTTGTATGTGCAGTGAGGGTATGTTCCCAGTTTATGTGCAGGAGGGTACTGTATCCCAGTTGTATGGCAGGAGGGTACTGTATCCCAGTTGTATGTGCAGAGGGTACTGTATCCCAGTTGTATGTGCAGGAGGTACTGTTCCAGTAGTGCAGGAGGGTATGTTCCAGTTGTATGTGCAGGAGGGTACTGTATCCCAGTATGTGCAGGAGGGTACTGTATCCCAGTTGTATGTGCAGGAGGGTACTGTATCCCAGTTGTATGTGCAGGAGGGTACTGTATCCCAGTTGTATGTGCAGGAGGGTACTGTATCCCAGTTTTGCAGGGTATGTATCCAGTAGTGAGGGTACTGTATCCCAGTTGTTGCAGGAGGGTACTGTATCCCAGTTGTATGTGCAGGAGGGTACTGTATCCCAGTTGTATGTGCAGGAGGGTACTGTATCCCAGTTGTATGTGCAGGAGGGTACTGTATCCCAGTTGTATGTGCAGGAGGGTACTGTATCCCAGTTGTATGTGCAGGAGGGTACTGTATCCCAGTTGTATGTGCAGGAGGGTACTGTATCCCAGTTGTATGTGCAGGAGGGTACTGTATCCCAGTTGTATGTGCAGGAGGGTACTGTATCCCAGTTGTATGTGCAGGAGGGTACTGTATCCCAGTTGTATGTGCAGGAGGGTACTGTATCCCAGTTGTATGTGCAGGAGGGTACTGTATCCCAGTTGTATGTGCAGGAGGGTACTGTATCCCAGTTGTATGTGCAGGAGGGTACTGTATCCCAGTTGTATGTGCAGGAGGGTACTGTATCCCAGTTGTATGTGCAGGAGGGTACTGTATCCCAGTTGTATGTGCAGGAGGGTACTGTATCCCAGTTGTATGTGCAGGAGGGTACTGTATCCCAGTTGTATGTGCAGGAGGGTACTGTATCCCAGTTGTATGTGCAGGAGGGTACTGTATCCCAGTTGTATGTGCAGGAGGGTACTGTATCCCAGTTGTATGTGCAGGAGGGTACTGTATCCCAGTTGTATGTGCAGGAGGGTACTGTATCCCAGTTGTATGTGCAGGAGGGTACTGTATCCCAGTTGTATGTGCAGGAGGGTACTGTATCCCAGTTGTATGTGCAGGAGGGTACTGTATCCCAGTTGTATGTGCAGGAGGGTACTGTATCCCAGTTGTATGTGCAGGAGGGTACTGTATCCCAGTTGTATGTGCAGGAGGGTACTGTATCCCAGTTGTATGTGCAGGAGGGTACTGTATCCCAGTTGTATGTGCAGGAGGGTACTGTATCCAGTTGTATGTGCAGGAGGGTACTGTATCCCAGTTGTATGTGCAGGAGGGTACTGTATCCCAGTTGTATGTGCAGGAGGGTACTGTATCCCAGTTGTATGTGCAGGAGGGTACTGTATCCCAGTTGTATGTGCAGGAGGGTACTGTATCCCAGTTGTATGTGCAGGAGGGTACTGTATCCCAGTTGTATGTGCAGGAGGGTACTGTATCCCAGTTGTATGTGCAGGAGGGTACTGTATCCCAGTTGTATGTGCAGGAGGGTACTGTATCCCAGTTGTATGTGCAGGAGGGTACTGTATCCCAGTTGTATGTGCAGGAGGGTACTGTATCCCAGTTGTATGTGCAGGAGGGTACTGTATCCCAGTTGTATGTGCAGGAGGGTACTGTATCCCAGTTGTATGTGCAGGAGGGTACTGTATCCCAGTTGTATGTGCAGGAGGGTACTGTATCCCAGTTGGCAGATTGTTCAGTCATATCCCTAAAACATGCCAAAATAAATATGAACTTTGAGCACAGTCTGGACCTGATGAGACTTTGGTGAGCTTAGTCGGCCTTAATGTACATAGTACTTTATTGGGTAATCTACAATAAATGTTGTAGCGCTCCAAAAGGATAAATGACTTTGACATGCAGCTCTCGTTTTAGAAAGAGACTATGCAGGCAAGATCAAACACAGTGACAGGTTAAAAGCATTAGAGTACTGTGTGGTACTTTTAAAAAATGTTAATATACAAATCTTACACTCCCAGTTCTTCTCACAAATTAGTTTTATGGAATTAGTAATTATATTACTTCTAAAACTCAAAACTATGCAGTGTACAAAATACAGTATAAGAAAAATTCTATTATGTAAGTATGTCCTCCTCTCACTGGTCATATAATGACATATTACCTACTTTATGTACTTCTAGACCTACAATAATATGTCCAAACACAGTAGTGAAACTAATTTTTTTTTTTTTTGGAACTATTTTTGCTGACAATGTAATTGAAACCAGACAGTTGGAATAAGTATATTGCAGTTTGGAGGGACATCTGAGCTGTAATGTCAGCATGCCTCTGGCAAGATGGTGATGGAGTGAATGATGGTGAAAGTTTTTTTTTTTTTTTTTAGGTCAACCTACCTTGATGAGAAATGGCCGGTATGTTAAAAAAATATATATAAATCATGCATACATATTAAAGACTGTAAGACTGTTTCCTATCTTATTTGGACACTGTATAACATTGCATTTGCAGCATATTTTATATATCTTCTAGTAAAATAAAATATGATAGGAGAACAATGAATGTCTTCAATATTCTGAAATGAAAGGGAGTTTTATTTCATATGAATTGGTATAACTATTTATTCTTGAATTTCTTATTAATCCAAGTACGTACAAGATGCACACAATATAAACTCAAAATTACATCTCAAATTTAATGCTGTATTAATGTGCTAAAGCAATGTAATATTAATACTGAGCTAAATGACTGCAGTATGTCGGGTAAAGAATACATTCACAATACAATACAGTATAAAAGCTTCACACTTGTGTTTTATACTTACCACACAATACTTGTGGAAAACTTTCTCCTCTGAAAGAAATCAGACTAATCATATAGTCATCTCTGACTTAATAAATTTGTATATACTGAAGTGGAATATTATTTAATTTGTTACTTATTAAATTTATGTGTACTGTACATTCATAATTTAATAAAATAAACAATGTAGTACTATAATATTTATCTGGAATATATTATACTGTCACTAACCTATACAAATATTATCTAACAATATACAGTAAGCCTTTGATTTAACAGACAAATGGGGAAGAGGGGAAGCAAGGGTGTGTGTGATCAAAACAAAATGAACAATTTTGTAACCAATGACTTGTCTGCTGTTTCCATATCAACTGACCCAAAGAATTTTGTTCTGTATTTCTTAAGTCCTTGAGAGTGAGGGTTTACTGCACAGTAGATCCTAGATGGTACAGAAGGGCCCCACTTTAAGGCGCTTTGCTTTACGGCAATATGCTAATATGGACATTTCAAATCATACCCCAAAATTTTTTATACGGCTCCTGAGTCGCTCTTACAGTTTCCGCACACCACCTGTTCACTCAGTTTATTTACATCCTCTGTAAGCTCCATATCTCTCCCAATTACTATGTCTGGAAACTTTTTAAAGTTTCAAGTGTTTTAAAGTTATTGCATACAGTATTTTATATATGTTACAATGACATCCAATGGTAGTTGTGATAGAAAGAGGAGTTGTAAGGCTCTTAATTTAAGTGCAAAGTTAGAAATGATTAAACTCAGTGAGGAAGGTATGATGACTGAGACAGTACTGAGATATACTGATAACTGTACTTGTGTGTACCTGTACCTAAATAAACTTACACTCCTGGCATGCAGGTACATTAAAATCACTATTTGGAATTGTTACAAAGTAGGAGTAGCTACACCAGGTGAGGAAGTAGCCAAGAGTTTCTGATTGGTGTTGACGACACAATAAGCAAAATAATAATACAGCCTCTCCTCACTTATTGACAGAGTTCCGTTCCTAAGACCACATCGGTAAACGAAATCGTCGCTAAGTGAGGAGCATATTATAATGGTAATGGGTTTGCGTCAACCATCTTTGATACTGTTTTAATGTCACCTTTGCACCATTTAACACATTTCTGGTATATTTTTAATATTTATACAGTAGTGTACTGTATATTGTAATAAACAGAATAGAGGAAATCAGCTCTAATGTACATAATTTAGGTATGCATACTGGTCAGACAGCCCATCATAAGTGTGAGTCATCAGTAAATAAGTACGTTGCTAAGTGAGGAGAGGCTGTAATAATAATTGCTCTGGGGTGCTTTAAATATTATATACAGTAATTATGTTATTACAGTGGACCCCCGGTTAACAATATTTTTTCACTCCAGAAGTATGTTCAGGTGCCAGTACTGACCGAATTTGTTCCCTTAAGGAATATTGTGAAGTAGATTAGTCCATTTCAGACCCCCAAACATACACGTACAAACGCACTTACGTAAATACACTTACATAATTGGTCGCATTTGGAGGTGATCGTTATGCGGGGGTCCACTGTATAGACATTTTCATTAATCCATCTATGACATATTTTCAACATTATATAGGAAACATACACAAACAAAATGGTTCGGCATAATAGTGGCTATCTTTGTAATTAGCAAATCAAAATTGTAATTACACATTGTAACCTTTACAAGGAAATAAACTTTACTTACTTACTAAGTAACATAATTGCAAGTCATGGCAGCCAGGGAGGTGTAAAGGAGTGTATGATAATAATTATATAACATGTAAGGTACCTAGGGATTGGCAGAGAGCATGCATAGTTCCTTTGTATAAAGGCAAAGGGGACAAAAGAGAGTGCAAAAATTATAGGGGGATAAGTCTGTTGAGTATACCTGGTAAAGTGTATGGTAGAGTTATTATTGAAAGAATTAAGAGTAAGATGGAGAATAGGATAGCAGATGAACAAGGAGGCTTTAGGAAAGGTAGGGGGTGTGTGGACCAGGTGTTTACAGTGAAACATATAAGTGAACAGTATTTAGATAAGGCTAAAGAGGTCTTTGTGGCATTTATGGATTTGGAAAAGGTGTATGACAGGGTGGATAGGGGGATAGGGGGGCAATGTGGCAGATGTTGCAGGTGTATGGTATAGGAGGTAGGTTACTGAAAGCAGTGAAGAGTTTTTACGAGGATAGTGAGGCTCAAGTTTGAGTATGTAGGAAAGAGGGAAATTATTTCCCAGTAAAAGTAGGCCTTAGACAAGGATGTGTGATGTCACGATGGTTGTTTAATATATTTATAGATGGGGTTATGTAGAAGTAAATGCGAGGGTCTTGGCAAGAGGCGTGGAGTTAAAAGATAAAGAATCACACAAAGTGGGAGTTGTCACAGTTGCTCTTTGCTGATGACACTGTGCTCTTGGGAGATTCTGAAGAGAAGTTGCAGAGGTTGGTGGATGAATTTGGTAGGGTATGTAAAAGAAGAAAATTAAAAGTGAATACAGGAAAGATTAAGGTTATGAGGATAACAAAAAGATTAGGTGATGAAAGATTGGATATCAGATTGGAGGGAGAGAGTATGGAGGAGGTGAATGTATTCATATATTTGGGAGTGGTCGTGTCAGCGGATGGGTCTATGAAAGATGAGGTGAATCATAGAATTGATGAGGGAAAAAGGGTGAGTGGTGCACTTAGGAGTCTGTGGAGACAAAGAACTTTGTCCTTGGAGGCAAAGAGGGGAATGTATGAGAGTATAGTTTTACCAACGCTCTTATATGGGTGTGAAGCATGAGTGATGAATGTTGCAGCGAGGAGAAGGCTGGAGGCAGTGGAGATGTCATGTCTGAGGGCAATGTGTGGTGTGAATATAATGCAGAGAATTCGTAGTTTGGAAGTTAGGAGGAGGTGCGGGATTACCAAAACTGTTGTCCAGAGGGCTGAGGAAGAGTTGTTGAGGTGGTTCGGACATGTAGAGAGAATGGAGCGAAACAGAGTGACTTCAAGAGTGTATCAGTCTGTAGTGGAAGGAAGGCGGGGTAGGGGTCGGCCTAGAAAAGGTTGGAGGGAGGGGGTAAAGGAGGTTTTGTGTGCGAGGGGCTTGGACTTCCAGCAGGCATGTGTGAGCGTGTTTGATAGGACTGAATGGAGACAAATGGTTTTTAATACTTGACATGCTGTTGGAGTGTGAGCAAAGTAACATTTATGAAGGAGTTCAGGGAAACCAGCAGGTCGGACTTGAGTCCTGGAGATGGGAAGTACAGTGCCTGCACTCTGAAGGAGGGGGTGTTAATGTTGCAGTTTAAAAACTGTAGTGTAAAGCACCCTTCTGGCAAGACAGTGTGGAGTGAATGATGGTGAAAGTTTTTCTTTTTCGGGTCACCCTGCCTTGGTGGGAATCGGCCAGTGTGATAATAAAATAAAATAAAATAACATGTTCTCTCTAGTACCACACCAAAGAAAATGTGTATAGTGTTACTGGGGGGAGAACTGTAGAAAAACATTCCTTACGTATGCCTTCACTCATAAATAGCATCAATCACTCTCAAAAAAGGTGTGCTGCATGTGATTGAGAGTGCTGCTGTTATGTATTTGCTGCACCAACATGAAGACAACTTGTACACAATATAAGGTGTTTATATTGTGGGAAAAGCACTTTTCAACCATATACATAATGTCAGATGAACACGTATCAACAGCCAGTTGACAGGTACGAAATATCCATCTGACAGCCCACCCACAACACTGACACCATACACACATTTATGGAGCACAATTCCCAGTGTGTTTTATAATAAGTAATAATAATACACTTTATTTCTACAAGTGAAACTGCATGTGTTGCCATTAAGTTCTGCATCTCTCTTGGTTCCATCTGGAAACTTTCCAAAGTTTCAAGGGTTTTAAAGTTATTATGTTGTAAGGCTCTTACTTTCAATGAACTCTAAGGAGAAAGTGTTGCAGGAAATTAGAAGTGCTACACCAGTGTACCTTATTACTAACATGAAAAAACTTTTACTGGTGTGGACTAAAAATCAAACTAGTCACAATGTGCCTTTAAGCCAAGCCATTATTCAGTCCAAGGCCCTAATTCTCTTCAATTCTATGAAGGCTGATAGAGGTGAGAAAGCTGCTGAAGATAAATTTGAAGCTAGCAGAGGTTGGTTTCGTCTCCTCCTGATTTCCTATAATAAATACTACTCACCTCTCGCCTTACATTAAGGCCAAAAATATTTTAAAGGTAAGTAATGAGTGTACTGAATATGCATTTAATTTTTTTTTTAGGCCTAGTTCTATTGCTAACTTAACATATGATAGCGTAAACATGTTATCAGGCATTTATATGAAATTAAAAGTGAAAAAAGGGCAATTCGCTTCTCGATGGTAGCCTGGAACCTAACCGACCGTATAAGTGGGGCCCCTCCTGCATAAGCTGCAAATAGATTCAACACAAATAAACAAAAACAAGCCAATACAGGAGAAAAATAAACATGAACTAAACAAACTGCAATATGTCATTCATTGTTCAAGTGTGTTGTAATGATTCCACATGTGCAGTTTTTAATATAAATAAGGACATTTCAATTTGATTTCTTGATTTGTTTTTTGTTTATACAAGATTTTGTCATAAAAAATAAAGCTAATCTAGAGGGAATGTTGATGAAATTCTAGTCTACTCTATTTCATTGGTTTTGGCTTCAAAGAGCGAATACTTTTATATATCATTACAAACATTACTTCAACAAGTTTTAGTATTTATCTCACCTGCCCAGTACCAGAAATGGCAGCAACTGTGGAAAAATCAGCTCCTGCTACTCTCAGTTTGTCCATCAACATGTCAAGGGCCTTCACCCACATAATAGTGGGAGCAGTCACTGTCACACCATCGCCACGAACATGCACCCCACCATGGGTCCTGGCCAGAATTTACTACAGTACTAACAGTTCTTCATACATTAAGTTTACAAGCCTTACAAATAATATAATCATGCACAAACACTATTTATCATGCATCTATTGTATCTTATTAATATAAGCAATGTTCTAATTGTAATGAAACCCCTTACATCAAGAGCAACTGCAAATTCTGTACAGTACTAAAATATGCTACAGTAAATAATCTACATACAACAACAAGATAAAAGGAAACAGTAGTTAATAGCTACAACAGTATTTAAAAATAGCAAACATCAAAGGATTGTACCTGTACTCTGGTAAATCATTGTCAAACTGGACAAGAGCTTCCTGCAACACCTCTAGGCCCTCGTTAACAACAATAGCTTTAACCTGCAACGAATAAGGCTTTTGTATAACAAAATATAAAAAAAAAATTTTATTACACAAGAAAATAAGGCAGAAACCACACTCCCCATTTCAATGACCTCATTATTTTATTCAATATTTTAATATTAACATTTTTAAAGAAGGGACGGGAAGGTGACTAACACATTTCTAGAAACAATTACAGATTTTGAAAATAAAACTGAAATTAATGCTTGATATATAACTGACACAATTAAAATGTCAAAGATCACATATAAAATAACAATAGGTAATGAATAATATGAATAAAGCTGATGGGAAGCATCTCTTGTAAAATATAATGTTGAATACTGTACACAAGTTTGTAATTAATGTAATCAGACAGTGCATAACCTAATGTAAATGCATGGTTTAAATAATATCATGCATGATGTGTAGGAATACTTATCCACCATAAATAATAATCAACCAAATATAAATTAAACTAATTTTTTTTAATAGCAATATATTTCGTACAGTTCATATGTTGAAAAATCATGCCTTTAATAAAATAAATAACAGTGTTTTATAGATTCAAAGTGAAAGAAAATACAAGATAATGTCAAGCAAAGGCAGTTCTCTTATCTGCTAAATGAACATCGTACTAATAATGCAGTCTCAGATCAAGCCTCCTAACTTGGAAAGGAAACACTGCATTACGAAACTAAGAACTATTAATATACACACACAAAATAATCATTAATATTTTAATAGTATACAATACCAACAAGTCGATGAATACACGTGTCTTATTGCACACATCTTGTCAACAAATAGGTTTTATTTAGGAAAATCTGACATTATTCTAAAGACATTAGCATAATACTGTACAATAGTTCTGAAGGTACATTTAGTTAATGTTGCAAGAAAACTTCAAAGGTATGTTGCATATATTTAATTCAGAATCACCCAATTCAATCAAACAGCAACTTATTTGTGACCCTATCAAACTTTGTTTTTTTTTTTAATTACTTTACCTAATAGAATATTCCATTCTACTGAATGCACAGCAACTCAGCAAATGACCATATGACCTGACTTTGAAATACTCATTTGTGCTTAACTGTTATTTGTTTACTATAATTTTTACCACTGAATATATCATTGCTTAGTTAATTTTAAGTTAATTTTAAGCCTGACCATAATGCTCTGCATACAAGGGGCTTTTGGTATGTTTACCTGGAGTTTACCTGGAGAGAGTTCCGGGAGTCAACGCCCCCGCGGCCCGGTCTGTGACCAGGCCTCCTGGTGGATCAGAGCCTGATCAACCAGGCTGTTACTGCTGGCTGCACGCAAACCAACATACGAGCCACAGCCCGGCTGGTCAGGAACCGACTTTAGGTGCTTGTCCAGTGCCAGCTTGAAGACTGCCAGGGGTCTGTTGGTAATCCCCCTTATGTATGCTGGGAGGCAGTTGAACAGTCTCAGGCCCCTGACACTTATTGTATGGTCTCTTAACGTGCTAGTGACACCCCTGCTTTTCATTGGGGGGATGTTGCATCGTCTGCCAAGTCTTTTGCTTTCGTAGCGAGTGATTTTCGTGTGCAAGTTCGGTACTAGTCCCTCTAGGATTTTCCAGGTGTATATAATCATGTATCTCTCCCGCCTGCGTTCCAGGGAATACAGGTTTAGGAACCTCAAGCGCTCCCAGTAATTGGGGTGTTTTATCTCCGTTATGCGCGCCGTGAAGGTTCTCTGTACATTTTCTAGGTCAGCAATTTCACCTGCCTTGAAAGGTGCTGTTAGTGTGCAGCAATATTCCAGCCTAGATAGAACAAGTGACCTGAAGAGTGTCATCATGGGCTTGGCATCCCTAGTTTTGAAGGTTCTCATTATCCATCCTGTCATTTTTCTAGCAGATGCGATTGATACAATGTTATGGTCCTTGAAGGCGAGATCCTCCAACATGATCACTCCCAGGTCTTTGACGTTGGTGTTTCGCTCTATTTTGTGGCCAGAATTTGTTTTGTACTCTGATGAAGATTTAATTTCCTCGTGTTTACCATATCTGAGTAATTGAAATTTCTCATCGTTGAACTTAACCACTGTATTTCTTTGTACATCACTAGCACGTTAAGAGACCATACAATAAGTGTCAGGGGCCCGAGACTGTTCAACTGCCTCCCAGCATACATAAGGGGGATTACCAACAGACCCCTGGCAGTCTTCAAGCTGGCACTGGGCAAGCACCTAAAGTCGGTTCCTGACCAGCCGGGCTGTGGCTCGTACGTTGGTTTGTGTGCAGCCAGTAGTAACAGCCTGGTTGATCAGGCTCTGATCCACCAGGAGGCCTGGTCACAGACCGGGCCGCGGGGGCATTTACCCCCGGAACTCTCTCTAGGTAAACTCTCCAGGTAAACATCTATGTATCATGTCCAAATTAATAATAAATAAATAAATAAAATTTCCACAAGGTCCCGAATTGAGAATCCTAATAAGAATAAGACGATACTTTTTTGGGTTATTAACTTTCAAGAGGCAGTTGTTGTTCTTTGTTTATTTGTCAGAGGAAGCACATTATTATTATTATTATAATAAAAAAGAAGCGCTAAACCACAAGGGCTATACAGCGCTGCAGAGGAAACACAGGTATGATTGTTGTTACTCATGATGACTACAATATACTCACCTGCTGGGTACTGAAGTCAAATCCCAGGTAATTCTTGGGCTCGTGGGCTGCCATGTTGCTCCCTGGCTCAACATCAGTCATGATGAGACTAAAAAAAAAGGAAACTACTAGAGATATGGAAAGATAACAGAGATAATGTGAGATGAAGGTGACACAGGTGGGTGTGAATGACAGTTTAGCTGCTGCTGTTGTTGTTGTTAACAACCGATACAGTTTCCTCCTTATTTAGCCCTGTCTTCTGCGAGTCAGGGAAAAATGTTGACAAATATGAGAAGGAATTTTAATGGGAAAAAAGTTTTCTCCGGAAAGAGAGACGGGAAGTGTAAGTTTGCAGTTAGTTGAGGTTGATGTCCTTGTGTGAACCCCAGAGAACCAGCCACCTGAGTCAACAATATCAGACTTTCAGAAAGCCTAAAAGGGGCTGATGTTGGTCTCCTGGATCACCTGAGCAGCAACAGCAGTCACTGTGTGGTGAAGACAAACGTTTCAGGGGCAGGAAACAGCGAAAATTCGGCACTGATGCTGGAAGGGAACAGAGCGAGAGGTTGCCAGTGCACTAAGAGTAACCAACAAATCCAGCAGATGAGCTGAGTTGCTCCTCTTCTGCCTGTAAACATTGTCTCCAATAATCTTGGCACGACTTTGGCTTCTACTTTACAATTAAATAAAACAATAAGCTATTTTAAGATATTTTTGTAGTTATTTTCATCACGTGGAAAGCAGTACGATTATGTATATGTAGGATGCAATAAAATAATTCATTTTATTTAATTGCATATTATATTTAATAATCTAGCATTGTTGTGTACATGAGCGTCACGAACTCGGGAAGGTTGAGTTAAAAGTCTAAACGAGCTGAATTACTTGACAGAATATTACTCCATTCCAAACTACTATCCCTCCATTTCCCCCCCAAAAAAACTTCTCATATTACAACCAAAGCTTTGCTTTGCAGCCAAACAGGATGTCTTAAGCTGTACTGATGACTTAGTCACACAGCAAACTTTTTCACAAATTATTTATGTTGATAGTTGAGTTAAGCAGTCCACGGGTGTGGCTGATAGTGCTGTCATGCACTGATGACTCTCAGACTGAAATTGGAGCAAACATCAAGATAACTGGGCCTCTATCCTTCAAACAAAACTGTTTGCCATACTTCTTGCACTTAAGTGCGTCCTTGTATCTAAGGCTGACACTTTAATTGTAACTATCTATCATCCATAAATGCTCTCAACTCATGAAGTATAACTTGTGTCAGGAGCCAGACACAGTGGAGTCAGAGGACACCTGTGGACTCCACATCACATTGGTCTTCAGATACATGATAGAACTGATGAATTGGCTAGGTTACATGCCATCAAAAAGAGAGCAGATTACAGTCTTGGCTTGTCAGTTAACACTTTGAGAACTTTTTAGGTAGGGACCCCTTTGCACTTGCACCATGTGTGCAGTCTTGGATGAGCCCCTGAACCCCTTGGACCGCGGGGCCCCCAAATGCGCGGGCCCCTAAATGCGCGGGGCCCTAGGTAAATGCCTAGTTTTCCTATGCGGTAATCCGGCCCTGCCTGCAAGTCCCTCCCAAGAAGCTCATTGCTAGTAATTCCTTCCTTAAATCTCTTGTTAGAGCAACTGCTCAAGAAGAAATTTCTCACCTAGCTGGTAGTAATAAGTTATCACAAGTTATATACACTGGTGGATCTAAACAGGAGTCTTCTGGCAGGGCTGCATCTGCTCTTGTTGCCACCTCCCTTGTTAAAAACGATAATAAATTTGTTGAGTTAGGCATAAGAATTAACAACTGGGCGTCTACACTGCAAACTGAATTGTTTGCAATCCTAATAGCCTGATGGCTAACGCTCTCGCTTCACACGGCGAGGGTCTGGAGTTTACCTGGACCTGGACCTGGAGTCTGGGTTCGATTCCCAGCCAGAGTAGAAACATTGGACGTGTTTCTTTCCACCTGTTGTCTATGTTCCCCATCAGTAAAATGGGTACCTGGGTGTTAGTCGACTGGTGTGGGTCGCATCCTGGGACACTGACCTAATTTGCCCGAGATGCTCAGCATAACAAGTGGCTTTCTATGTAGTAGTATGTCATTGTTGTCAGCTAGGACTGTATACCATGTACATGTACTTGTAGTAAATAAAGATTATTATTATTATTATTATTATGACATTGAGCTTGACTCTATCATCATTACTGATTCTATGTCATCATTGAAGGCTCTTGACTCATATAATGACTCCAATAACATGCTCATTGGAGAAGCCAGGTATAGATACTCAAAAATTAGGGACAAAGGAATTAATGTACAATTGCTATGAATCCCATCACACATTATATTACTCCTTCATGATAAAGTTGATATGTTAGCCAAGAAGAGTACCCTGAAGGAGAATGTAGAATATAACTTTGGTATAACTGTGTCTAGCATTAGGAATAATATTAGGAGAGAAGTAAATAATGAAAATGATTGTTATAGGAATGCAGTTAGAAGCCTGAGTAGATCTATAACCCACTATGATAACATGAACGTAGATAAGTATGTTTATGGAGCAACGTCAGCCCGTAATGCTATGCATATAAGTGGCTTTGGCATGCTGCTCTTACCTGTATTTTTTTATACCTATGTATGTATGCTAAAATTACTAAATAAATGGAGTAACTCTGGGTAATGATAAAAAAAAAACGTGCAATGTGAACAGACTGACTGATGTTGTAGTGACCAGACTTAGGCTTGGTTACAAGTACTTCTGGCAGTTTGGAAGTTTTTAGTTTAATATGTTTATTATGCACCCCATACCCATCCTGTGGGCGGCAGTCAAAAGATTACAGAGGTACATAATGGGTCCAGGGACTGGGCCTCAAAGTTTTGATAGCTGAGCAAGTAACAGAGGTAATGAATTCACAATTTACAAAGGTAATGAACTCACAATTTACAAAGGTAATGAACTCCAGGTAGGTCTAGTCACAATCATGATAAGTTACAAAGGTATTTACAGATTACAGAGGTACACAATGGGTCCAGGGACCGGGCTCCAAAGTTTTGATGGCTGAACTAGGTACAGGTAATGAACTCACAGTTAAAAGGTAATGAACTCACAAGTTACAAAGGTAATGAATACTGTAAGAATGGTTACTTACGTTTATACATGGCTGCAATCATGAACAAATTTTAGAGTAATGAGCAATTCACACTTCCACGCCCGGTCACAACTGTAGTGAGTTATTGGTGCAAATGTTGATTGCTGAGTCTCTCTCTCTCTCTCACACACACACACACACACACACACACACACACACACACACACACACCACACACACACACACACACACACACACACAAATGAGAAACACAAATGAGTCAGAGAGATAGTAGGAAGTATTTCTTCAGTCATAGAGTTGTAAGGCAGTGGAATAGCCTAGAAAATGACGTAGTGGATGCAGGAACCATACACAGTTTTAAGACGAGGTTTGATAAAGCTCATGGAGCGGGGAGAGAGAGGGCCCAGTAGCAACCGGTGAAGAGGCGGGGCCAGGAGCTAAGACTCGACCCCTGCAACCACAAATAGGTGAGTACAAATAGGTGAGTACACATGCACATATGTGGTAATGCTTTATTTACAGCTAGCAAAGTCAGGGTATTTCTCCAGAATGGTCTGTAATATACCACTGTGGATAAAATACTTAGCCATTTCTTGAACACTTCTGAGTGAGTTGTTTCTAAATTCATTAATTTTATCGCACTCCAGTACATAATGACGCAGGGTGTGACAATAATCCATAGTTTGGGAGACACACAGATGATGATCAAACTAAATGTAAATTATGTGATCAGGCATATGGTCATTCTCTTGAACACTATGTGCTTAATTGTCCACTTATTGAGGAATACAGAGACAGACAGTATAATAACCTATGTGACATGTCAAGATATCTTATTAATGAAAATAAGATACCAGATATACTAAGCAAATTTCCTAAATTTGCTTGTAACAGATAAGTGAACTATAGATATGTAGATATAAATCCATATGTATTCCTGTTAACCCTTTGGGGCCTAGTTCCTAGGCCTTTTGTGTATCCATATGCTCTCGCGCTACCCTCCACAGGATGGATATGGGGTGCACAATAAACTAGCCACTTCGGTGGCAAATCTACCATCTAATCAGGGACTTTCTATACAGTAGTGTGTCAGTTATGGTGTGTATAAGGTGTAACATATTTGTAGAAATAAAGGTTATCATTGTTGTTCTGCAGTCAGCTGACGTGCCGCTGCCGCCGCCGCCGCTGCCGCCGCTGTCGCCGCCGCCGCTGCTGCTGCCGCCGCCGCCGCCGCCGCTGCTGCTGCTGCCGCCTCAAAATAATGTAGAGAACAAAATGGCTTCACGCTGCTGAGTGGCTGTGAGCACCACTGTCTCCTCGCCTTCATTTCCCCCTCAACACCGCCTCTGAACTATGATAACCAGGTAAGACTGGTCATTCATGCCCTGCTCGGGGCACACAACATTACCCAAGTTACTAGCACTCAAATTAATGGTAATTTATCTTGAGAGGAGTGCGAATCAGTTTAAAATCGCTTTTCTTATAATCTCATTGTATGTAGTCTTCATTCCAGCCACAAAATTTGGGTATGAATCCTCTAAACTCTAGTGGCACCCGAACGTGCGTCACCGTGGTATCGTGTGAGCCACGTGGGAGTGCTTTGGGGGAGTCCGGTGGTGGTGGGCGTGTGTGCGGAGCACTGAAAAGGTGGGGGAGCCACTGTGGGTGGTGGGCGTGTGTGGTGGGTGTGATGGTGAGTCACGGTGGGTGGTGGGCGTGTGTGTGGGTGCAACTGTGGTGGTAGCCACTGTGGGGGGTGAGTGCACTGTGGTGGTGGGAGCCACTGTGGGTGGTGGGCGTGTGTCGGTGGGTGTGAGTGTGGTGGGAGTCACGGTGGGTGGTGGCGTGTGTGGTGGGTGCACTGTAGGTGGGGACCCATGGGGGGTGGTGAGTGCCATGTAGGTGGTGGGAGCCACTGTGGGTGGTGAGTGCCACTGTAGGTGGTGGGAGCCACTGTGGGTGGTGGGTATAAGTGTGGTGGGAGCCACTGTGGGTGGTGGGTGTGTGTGGTGGAAGTCACTGTAGGTGGTGGGAGTCACGGTGGGTGGTGGGCGTGTGTGATGGGAGCCACTGTAGGTGGTGGGAGCCACTGTGGGTGGTGGGTGTGAGTGTGGTGGGAGTCACGGTGGGTGGTGGGCGGTGTTGTGGTGGGGGAGCCACTGTGGGTGGTGGGTGTGAGTGTGGTGGGAGCCACTGTGGGTGGTGGTGGGTGTGTGTGGTGGGAGTCACTGTGGGTGGTGGGCGTGTGTGGTGGGAGTCACTGTGGGTGGTGGGTGTGTGGTGGGAGTCACTGTGGGTGGTGGGCATGTGTGGGGGGAAAGTCACTGTAGGTGGTGGGGTGTGTGGTGGGAGCCCACTGTGGGTGGTGTGTGTGTGTGGTGGGAGTCACTGTGGGTGGTGGGTGTGTGTGGTGGGAGTCAGTGGGTGGTGGGTGTGTGGTGGGAGTCACTGTGGGTGATGGGGTGTGTGTGGTGGGAAGCCACTGTGGGTGGTGGGCGTGTGTGGTGGGAGTCACTGTGGTGTGTGAGTGTGGTGGGAGTCACTGTAGGTGGGGGAGTGTGGTGGGAGTCACTGTAGGTGGTGGTGTGGTGGGAGTCACTGTAGGTGGTGAGTGTGGTGGGAGTCACTGTAGGTGGTGAGTGTGGTGGGAGTCACTGTAGGTGGTGAGTGTGGTGGGAGTCACTGTAGGTGGTGAGTGTGGTGGGAGTCACTGTAGGTGGTGAGTGTGGTGGGAGTCACTGTAGGTGGTGAGTGTGGTGGGAGTCACTGTGGGTGGTGAGTGTGGTGGGAGTCACTGTGGGTGGTGGGCATGTGTGGTGGGGAGTCACTGTAGGTGGTGAGTGTGGTGGGAGTCACTGTGGGTGGTGGGCATGTGTGGTGGAGTCACTGTAGGTGGTGGGTGTGAGTGTGGTGGGAGCACTGTGGGTGGTGGGTGTGGGTGGTGGGCATGTGTGGTGGGAGTCACTGTGGGGGGGTGGGTGTTGTGGTGGGAATCACTGTGGGTGGTGTGAGTGTGGTGGGAGTCACTGTAGGTGGTGGGTGTGAGTGTGGTGGGAGTCACTGTAGGTGGTGGGTGTGAGTATGGTAGGAGTCACTGTGGGTGGTGGGCATGTGGTGGGAGCCACTGTGGGTGGTGGGTGTGAGTGTGGTGGGAGCCACTGTAGGTGGTGAGTGTGGTGGGGAGTCACTGTGTGGTGGGAATGAGTGTGCTGGGTGTGAGTGTGGTGGGAGCCACTGTGGGGTGGTGGGCATGAGTGTGGTGGGAGCCACTGTGGGTGGTGAGCATGAGTGTGGTGGGAGTCACTGTGGGTGGTGGGCATGAGTGGGGTGGGAGCCACTGTGGGTGGTGGGAGTCACTGCGGGTGGTGGGCATGAGTGTGGTGGGAGCCACTGTGGGTGGTGGGTGTGAGTGTGGTGGGAGTCACTGGGTGGTGGGCACGAGTGTGGTGGGAGTCACTGGGTGGTGGGCGTGAGTGTGGTGGGAGTCACTGTGGGTGGTGGGCATGAGCGTGGTGGGAGTCACTGTGGGAGGTGGGCATGAGTGTGGTGGGAGTCACTGTGGGTGGTGGGCATGAGTGTTGTAGGAGTCACTGTGGGTGGTGGGCATGAGTGTGGTGGGAGTCACCGTGGGTGGTGGGCATGAGTGTGGTGGGAGTCACCGTAGATGATGGGTGTGAACATGATGGGAGTTACTGTGGGTAATGGGCATGAGACTGGGTGGGAGTTGCTGTAAGTGGTGGGAATACACTGGGTGATGGGCATGAGACTGGGGGGTCACTGCTAGAGGTGGAAGTACACTGTGGGTGATGGGCATGAGACTGGGGGGGAGTTGCTGTAAGTGGTGGGAATACACTGGGTGATGGGCATGAGACTGGGTGGGAGTTGCTGTAAGTGGTGGGAATACACTGGGTGATGGGCATGAGACTGGGGGGTCACTGCTAGAGGTGGAAGTACACTGTGGGTGATGGGCATGAGACTGGGGGGGAGTCGGTGTGAGTGGTGGGAGTACACCATCCCGTGGGTGATGGGCATGAGACTGGGTGGGAGTTGCTGTAAGTGGTGGGAATACACTGGGTGATGGGCATGAGACTGGGGGGTCACTGCAAGAGGTGGGAGTACACTGTGGGTGATGGGCATGAGACTGGGGGGTAGTCACTGTGAGTGGTGGGAGTCACTGAGGAATCAGTTATAATTTTGTAATTCTGTACTGCAACTGTAGCAAAATTTTTATTTTATAAAGCTCCAGATGTGTAACTAACATAATGTGATTGTCTGGAAATTAATAATTTATCATTGATTTAATCCACAGGGCTGATTGTGGTGGGTGTGGGGAAGCTGAGTCCCACAGAGTCTTCTGCAGAGGTCACTGAAACACGGCAGGTTGACCAAGACAAGTGGCGGTGGGTGTAGTATGGAGCAGTAGCTTCAGTGAGGTCCCAGTTCACTGTGGATCAGGCCAAGGGTGGGTGTAAGGCAAAGGGATCACTGGGGCCTTGAGGTCAAAGGGCATAGTAATACAGCAACAGCTTTAGTGGAAATTGTAATTCCAAAATATATTTCCTTTTTGATTAAATATCCATGTCTCATTTTAAATACAGCATGGTGATTGTTTTACATACTTGAAGCTTTATGATTAGTTTGCTTGAAAATGCATTGTATAAATAGTGGCTTTCTTCTAAGACTTATATTGTCTCAAATTACTGTATATCTGTATTATATCATTTAAATCTGTATTATACAGTAGGGCTCCACTTACACAGCAGGTTAGGTTCCAGGCTGCTGCTGGAAAGCGGACATTGCCAGAAAGCAAAACCCCCATTTGTTTCCACTTATAAATGTTGGATAATAAGTTAACACTAACATATATTGAGTTAGCAATAGAACAAGGCATTAAAAAACAATAAAAAGTAAAATACACACAAAGTACTCTCATTACTTACCTCAAAATATTTGTAGTCTTAATGTAGGGTGAGAAGTGAGTAGTGTGTATTGTAAGAAGTTAGGTGTAGTAGGTATGGTAGCCAGCCAGGCCAACCCACCCCACCCAACCCCACTCCATTCCACTCCACTCACACATAATGTATTTTGACATTTAAAGAGCCCTAGAGTGATAAAATGCATTTAGTGTACACATTACACTGGAGCCTCGGTTTTCGTTATTAATCTGTTCGAAAAAGTCTAACAAAAACCGAATCATACAAAAACTGAAGCAATATTTCCCATAAGAAATAATGTATATCCACTTAATCCGTTCCGGACACCCAAAAATATTAAAAAAAAAAAATACATTTTATAGAGAATATAGATTTACATGCAGTAAACAATGAAAAATAAATATAAATGACTAATGAAATGGATAAATGAACATTTAATATCACTTGAAGACTTGTTGGCATATGGAAGACAGTTAGGAGGGGAGAGGGATGGGGAGAGGTTATTGTTTGGAAGGGGAATCCCCGTCCATGAATAATTTGGGTATCGAGGCCCTATCTAGGGTTACTTCCCTTCTTTGTCTTTTACTGACACTAGGAACAGCTTGAGTCACTGGACCCCTGTAGCACAAAAAATCTGTGTAAGCAAGTTCACTTCTTGAATTTGTCTAACCAGCCCCTGCTGGCCTTAAATTCACTAACAGCAGCTACTCGTTCCTGGTACTGTATTTTCTTTGCAAGATTCGCATGCAGTTTCCTTGCCTTTTTGCAAATTATCACCTCCAAAACACTATCTCCTGCTAACTGTTTTTTATTGATCCACACCAACAACAACTTCTCAACATCTTCGATTGTTTGTGATCTTTGTTTCATTACCACGTTTACCCCTTTCACAACATCAGCTTCCTTGATTTCTTTTTTCTTCACCAGGATGGAATTGATCGTTGATGCGGACTTCCTGTACTTCCTGGCAAGATCAGCCACGTGTATGCCACTTTCGTACTTTGCTACGAGTTCTTACTTGAATTCTATCGTGATTCTCGCCTTCTTTATCAAAGGGCTGGCACTCGGAACTTTCTTTGGGCCCATGGTGGCTTATTTAGCAGTCGCACTCAATAAACAAGCACAAAAAACAATGGATTATTTCGAATTGTTTCGGATGAACACACGGGGTGATGCTCACTTAACAAGAAACAGTCACGAACGCATGGGGTGCTTTGTGTGGGCGCTCGATTCCGGGAAATGAGTGGCTGAGTCACACGGGCAGATGGACAAGTTTGGTACAGACCATTTTCAACTGTACGTAAACTGAGTGGATGTATGAAAACCAGGACAAAATTTCAACAAAGAAAGTCGTCGAAAACCGAATCATACAAAAACTAGGGCATACGAAAACCAAGGTTCAGCTGTACTTATGTACCTTAACCCTTTGACTGTCGCGGCCGTATATATACGTTTGTGAGGTACCGTGTTTGACGTATATATACTCATAAATTCTAGCGGCTTCAAATCAGGCAGGAGAAAGCTAGTAGGCCCACATGTGAGAGAATGGGTCTGTGTGGTCAGTGTGCACCACATAAAAAAAATCCTGGAGCACGCAGTGCATAATGAGAAAAAAAAACTCCGACCGTTTTTTTTTTAATTAAAATGCCGACTTTGTGGTCTATTTTCGTATAGTATTTGTGGTTGTATTCTCGTTTTCATGGTCTCATTTGATAGAATGGAAACTATATTATAGAAATGGAGGTGATTTTGATTAATTTTACTATAAAAAGAACCTGGAAATGGAGCACAAAGTACAGGAAATGTTTGATTTTTTGCCGATGTTCAAAAGTAAACAAATGATGTCATTGTCCAATAAATGTCCAAATAGCCATTCTACATACGCAGTCATGAATGGGTTGATGTAATTTTTACAATTATTACAGTATTGCAGTAGTCTGCATAACAGTAAATCTTCTATTTTTTGTTTGAATAAAATTTCAAAATAAAAAGCAAGAGTAATATCACAGGGACCTGGAGACATGACTGATGAACAAAGAAAATCTTATTTTAGAGCCAGGAATGTCTGCATTGTTCATTCTGGACCTTATTTTGAAATTGTCGTATTTTTTAATTTTCGTGAAATTGGCCAAATTGCAAATTTCTGACCATGTTATTGGGTAGTTGAAATCGGTAAATGGGCAGTTTCTTGTGCTCAATCGATAGAAAAAATAGAGTTCTGAAGAAATAGTTATGAGTTTGGTTGACTGGAATAACGGAATTAGCCGAAAATAGGGCTCAAAGTAGGCGAAATTGCCGATTTTTAAATATCGCCGAAGTCGCTAACTTCGCGAGAGCGTAATTCCGTCAGTTTTCCATCAAATTTCGTTTTTTTGGTGTCTTTACAATCGGGAAAAGATTCTCTATCATTTCATAAGAAAAAATAATTTTTTTTTTTTCGAATATTTTGCGACACCAGGAGCAACTTCAGGATTGGGCCCTTCGACAGTCAAAGGGTTAAAATATTTGTAGTCTAATGGTCTTAATGTAGGGTGCAAGGTGAATAGTAGGGTAGGTAGGTATCGTAACCCCATCTGGCCACCCAACCCACACATTATATACTAGGCATTTAAAGTGCCCTAGAGTAATAAAATGCATATACAGTACACTCATTACTTACCTTAAAATATTTGTAGTCTTAATGTAGGGCAAGAGGTCAGTAAATGAGATTAAAAGAATAAATGAGAATGAATGAGTACACGAGAGGACAGACGCAAGTTTTGTAAACACCTCCGGCAAGCCAACTGAAAAAAATCTCATATTTATGTTAATTTATTGTACTTTGGGTATATTTATGTTTATATGCTACGTAGAGTGTTTATTATATAATATTGAAAAAATATCAGGGATGGATTGAGTAAAATGTCTATATTAACATTTTATATGACAATGTGCCTCAGAGTGATTATTATGTGTTATTATCATCATTATTAATATGGCATCTTAACCCTTTCAGGGTCCAAGGCCAAAATCTGAAGTCACGCACCAGTGTCCAAGAATTTTCAAAAAAAAAATTTGTTATTTTTTCTTATGAAATCATAGAGAATCTTTTTGTGAAGGTAATAAAACAAAAAGTACGAAATTTGGTGGAAAATTGACGAAATTATGCTCGCGAATTTTGATGTGTCAGCGATATTTACGAATCGGCGATTTTGCAGATTTTGACTCCCATTTTAGGCCAATTACATTATTCCAATCAACCAAATTCTTAGCTATTTCACTAGTATTACTTCTATTCTATCGATTGAGCACAAGAAATCGCCATGTCAACTGTTTCAACATACAAAATAAAGTGATCGGAAAATTGTTAATTTGGCCAATTTAACACAAAGTTCAAAATATTCCAATTTCAAAATAGGCTCCAGAATAAACAATGTAGGTATTCCTGGAACTAAACTAACATTTCCTCTGTTCATTAGTTACATTTTGAGGCTTTACAAATAAATTACATTTTGATTTTTTATTCACATAATGAATTTTTATTCACACCAAAAAATAGAAGATTTACTGTTATGCAATACTGTAATAATTGTATAAATATCATCACCATATTTGTGAATGTATATTAGACCCACCAGCTGACGTGTATTAGATGTGTGAGGTCGTTTGTTTACTCTTGAATATCGGCAAAAATTTAACATTTCCGCTACTTGAGCTCAGTTTCAAGCCATTTCCAGTGCTAAAACCAATCAAAATCATCTCTATTTCTGTAATATGTCTTCCATTCTATCAAATGAGACCAAGAAATCGCAAATACAACTATAAAAAAATAGGAAAAAACACTGCAAAGTCGCTGTTTTAATCGAAAAATCATGATTTCAGTTTTTTTCTCTCATTATACACAGTGTGCTGCAGGATCTGTTTTATGTGGTGCACACATACCACATAGATGTATTCTCTCATATCTAGGCCCAAATGTACACTCACAGTTTATCAGAGTGAGCTGAGCTCATGGCGTAGATCTACGGTTTGGACACTCACCGTAAAGCCGTAGATCTACGGGACGGACCCTGAAAGGGTTAAAAACTAATAAGACACTCTTAGTGATTTTAATGTATACCTGCACACCAGCACAGTGTGTAAGTTTACTTAGGTACAGGTACACACAAGTATAATTATCAAGAGTATATATAAAATATGAAATAACTTTAAAACCCTTGAAATTTCGGTAAATTTCCAGACATAATGGAGAGATGCGGCGCTCGTGGAGAATGTAAACATGAGGTGGCGCATGCCATATTAGAAAGACGGGGAGCTGTATAGAGAGTTTTGGTCCTAGTTTGAAATCACCATATTAGCGGAATGCTGTAAGGCAAAATGCCGTAAAGTGGGGCCCTACTGTACTCTAATATCAAATTCAAAATATCAGTTTGAATGTACAATAATTGTAGCTAATTTGTATAGCTGATAAATTAAAAGTTTAATTTTGATTTTATTAGCTTGATAAAGCTCCTGGAGAGTGAAAAGTTGCTGCATTGTCTCAGTAATTACTTGTGTTCTTTTACCTAACATGTGGTTAGTATATCAAGGATTGGAAAATTGCAAGATAAGATAAGATAAGATAAGATAAGATTTCGTTCGGATTTTTAACCCCGGAGGGTTAGCCACCCAGGATAACCCAAGAAAGTCAGTGCGTCATCGAGGACTGTCTAACTTATTTCCATTGGGGTCCTTAATCTTGTCCCCCAGGATGCGACCCACACCAGTCGACTAACGCCCAGGTACCTATTTGCTGCTAGGTGAACAGGACAATAGGTGTAAGGAAACGTGTCGGAATTTCCACCCGCCGGGAATCGAACCCGGGCCCTCCGTGTGTGAAGCGGGAGTTTTAGCCACCAGACCACATGTTTAGGTGTGTTGTGCAAACATGCCTCACTCAACATCTTGGTTGCATTAAAAACTATCTACATTTTTGGGTGATTTAATGAGTTAAGTAAAGAAAAATTGGATATCAGATTTGAGGGAGGAAGTATGGAAGAAGTGAATGTGTTCAGATATTTGGGAGTAGACTTGTCAGTGGATGGGTTTATGAAGGATGAAGTAAACCAAAGAATTGATGAAAGGAAAAAGATGGGTTGTACATTGAGGTATCTGTGGAGACCAAAAAACGTTATCCATGGTGGCAAAGAAAAGAATGTATGAGAGTATAGTGGTACCAACACTCCTATGTGGGTGTGAAGCATGGGTTATAAATGTTGCAGCAAGGAGGAGGCTGGAGACAGTGGAGATATCATGTCTAAGGGCAATGTGTGACATAAATATTATGCAAAGAATTTGTAGTGTGAAAATAAGGTGGTGTGGAGTTACTAAATGTATCATTCAGATGGCTGAGGAGGGGTTGTTGAGGTGGTTTGGTCATTTAGAGAGGATGGATCAAAATAGGATGACTTGGAGGTTGTATAAATCTCTAGTGGAGGGAAGGAGGGGTAGGGGTCATCCTAGGAAAAGATAGAGGGAGGGGGTGAAAGAAGTTGTGTGTACAAGGAGGCTTAGACATAGCTTGTGTGAGCATGTTAGAAAAGAGTGAGTGGAGATGAATGGTGTTTGGGACTTGACAAGCTGTTGGAGTGTGAGCAGGGGAAACTGGTTAGCCGGACTTGAATCCTGGAGGTGGGAAGTACAATGCCTGCACTTTAAAGGAGAGGTTTGGAATACTTGCTGTATGGAGTGGCATCTGAACTGTCATATCTGTATGCCTCTACAAAGACAGTGATTATGTGTGAGTGATGGCCAAAGTGTTTCTTGTTTTGGGTCATGCTGCCTTCGTGGGAGATGGCCGACGTGTTAAAAAAATATATATACACACATACATATGCATACATAATGCATATACAGTGGACCCCCGCATAACGATGGCATCGCATAGCGATTTTTCCGCATAACGATTACTTTTATCGCAAAATTTTTGCCGCGCATACCGATTAAAAACCCGCATACCGATTTTCGTCCGAGACGCGTCCAATGTGCCCTCAGCCAGCCTCACATGTGCCGCTCCGTCCCATTGTTTACCAGCCAGCCTCCGCGGTAACATCCAAGCATACACTCGGAATATTTCGTATTATTACAGTATTTTCGGTGCTGTTTCTGGAAAATAAGTGACCATGGGCCCCAAGAAAGCTTCTAGTGCCAACCCTACACCTCAAAGGGTAAGAATTACTATAGAGATGAAGAAAGAGATAATTGATAAGTATGAAAGTGGAGTGCGTATAGCCGACCTAGTCAAGCTGTACAAGAAACCCCAATCAACCATCGCTACTATTGTGGGCACCAGAAAGACAATCAAGGAAGCTGTTCTTGCCAAAGGTTCAACTGTGTTTTCGAAACAAAGATCGCAATTGATGGAAGATGTTGAGAGACTCTTATTGGTGTGGATAAATGAAAAACAGATAGCAGGAGATAGCGTCTCTCAAGCGATCATATGTGAAAAGGCTAGGAAGTTGCATGAGGATTTAATTAAAAAAATGCCTGCAACTAGTGATGATGTGAGTGAATTTAAGGCCAGCAAAGGTTGGTTTGAGAGATTTTAAGAAGCGTAGTGGCATCCATAGTGTGATAAGGCATGGTGAGGCTGCCAGTTCGGACCACAAAGCGGCTGAAAAATATGTGCAGGAATTCAAGGAGTACATAGAAACTGAAGGACTGAAACCTGAACAAGTGTTTAATTGTGATGAAACAGGCCTGTTCTGGAAGAAAATGCCAAGCAGGACCTACATTACTCAGGAGGAAAAGGCACTCCCAGGACATAAGCCTATGAAAGACAGGCTTACTTTGTTGATGTGTGCCAATGCTACTGGTGATTGCAAAGTGAAGCCTTTATTAGTGTATCACTCTGAAACTCCCAGAGCGTTCAGGCAAAAGAATGTCCTCAAGGAAATTTGTGTGTGCTGTGGAGGGCAAACAGTAAGGCATGGGTCACTAGGGAATTTTTCTATAACTGGTTACACCATGCATTTGCCCCCAATGTGAAAAATTACCTAACTGAAAAGAAATTAGAACTTAAGTGCCTCCTGGTGTTAGACAATGCCCCTGGTCATCCTACAGACGTGGCAGAGCGACTTTATGGGGACATGAGCTTCATTAAGGTGAAGTTTTTGCCTCCTAATACCACTCCTCTCCTGCAGCCCATGGACCAGCAGGTTATTTCCAACTTCAAGAAACTGTACACAAAAGCTCTGTTTGAAAGGTGCTTTGTAATGACCTCAGAAACTCAACTGACTCTAAGAGAGTTTTGGAGAGATCACTTTAATATCCTCAATTGTGTAAACCTTATAGGTAAGGCTTGGGAGGAAGTGACAAAGAGGACCTTGAACTCTGCTTGGAAGAAACTGTGGCCAGAATGTGTAGACAAAAGGGATTTTGAAGGGTTTGAGGCTAACCCTGAGAATCCTGTGCCAGTTGAGGAATCCATTGTGGCATTGGGAAAGTCCTTGGGTTGGAGGTTAGTGGGGAGGATGTGGAAGAGTTGGTGGAGGAGGACAATGAAGAACTAACCACTGATGAGCTGATAGATCAACTTCAAGAGCAAGAGGCCAGACCTGAGGAAACTGGTTCAGAGGAGGGGAGAGAGAAATTGAAGAAGTTGCCTACTACAAAGATAAAGGAAATCTGTGCTAAGTGGCTTGAAGTGCAAACCTTCATGGATGAAAATCACCCTCACACAGCTATTGCAAGCCGTGCTGGTGATTATTACACTGACAATGTTGTGAAACACTTTAGGCAAGTCATAAAGGAACGAGAGGTACAGGCCACTATGGACAGATATCTTGTGCGAAAGAAGTCCAGTGACTCTGAAGCTGGCCCTAGTGGCATTAAAAGAAGAAGGGAAGTAACCCCAGAAAAGGACTTACTACCTCAAGTCCTAATGGAAGGGGATTCCCCTTCTAAACACTAACACACTCTCTCCCCTCCTCCCATCCCATCAATCATCACCAGATCTTCAATAAAAGTAAGTGTCATTTAATTGTGCATGCCTTTTTCAGTTTGTGTGTATTAAAATTAACATTTCATGTGGTAAAAAAAATTTTTTTTCATACTTTTGGGCGTCTTGCACGGATTAATTTTATTTCCATTATTTCTTATGGGGAAAATTCATTCGCATAACGATTATTTCGCATAACGATGAGCCCTCTTGCACGGATTAAAATCGTTAACCGGGGGTCCACTGTATATAGCCACTGTTTAACACTGACTACATTACAATGTGAAAGAAGTAGGTAGCGGGCATAAGCTATTGTATTAAATTGGAATGAGTGGAGGTGAATGGCCCCCAGGGATTTGATGTGCTATTGGAGTGTGTTTGAGGTAGTATCTTGTGAAATATTGTACTCTGCCTGCACTTTAAAATGAGATACTCAAGTTTAGTGGGTGAATATTGGGCTGTAGTGTCTCTACTTCCCTAAAAAGTCAGATAAAGAGTTATGTAATGTGAATTTATTTTCTTTTGGTCACCCTGTCTTGATGGGAAATGGCAGTTTTTTTTTTAATCCTTAACCATGCAAAAAACTTTATAATTGTTGTTCACATCGATTCTTACCTTTATCAACAAATTTATTTTTTTCTTACAGGAATGAAATGTGACAAGCCACTTTCCTGAGTAAATTTAATAATAGATGCTGATTCTCAAGTTTAAATGTCTACCACAGGAAAAATGTCACGTACAACAGGTGCCTCCACAAGCAAGCATAATGGGGGGTCAACACTATACCAGTGTGATGTTTGTGGGAAGGACTTCCCCTTTAAGGTTGTACTTGACATGCATAAAAAAGATCATACATTTAAGAACGTTTTCAAGTGTCACATCTGTGGTGTGTCATATCCCAAAAAAAGTCAGTTAGACATGCACTACCGAAAACATACTGGGGAAAGACCCTTCAAGTGTGATGAATGCGACTCGTCCTTCATGAACAGCAGTAACCTTCAACGTCACAAACGTAAGCATGTATGTAAGCGACGCTATGATAGTGATGAATGGGAAGCTGCTTACACTTTAAGCGATAATTTGAGTGCTGAGAAACGTGCTAAAAACAGTACAGATGAAGATAACTCAGAAAATCCCTATACATGTACAGAATGCGGTGAAACATTTACGAAGATGAATACCTTAATGATTCATAAAAAGAAGCACTCTGGTGATCGGCCATTTTCTTGTGAAGATTGTGGAGCCATGTTTGCAGTACGTGCTAGCTTAGATTACCACAAACTGAAACATTCTGGAGGAGAGTCTTCTTACTGGCAGAATGTATGTGACATATGTGGTGAAGCCTTTACTTCAAAGGATGGTCTCATGCAACACCAGAGAAAGCATACTGGCGCTAGGCCATTTAACTATGATCGATACTTTGCCGCATTCTCAAATTCGGGTGATAGTGCTTCAATAGACGGGAGCATGCAAGTGTCTGGAGAGCAAATTGGAGCACAAGCCACAGCAGGGCAACAAGTTCCAGCTCAAGAACAACAACAGCTACCAGCACATCATCAGCAGCAACTTCACCCTGGTCAGCAACACCACCATCAACTGCAGCATCTTCCAAACCAACAACACTATCCACAACATATGCATCAGCAGCAGCCAGAACAGCAACAAGAGGATGGACAAGACCCATCAGAACTCACATTGCAACTGCATGAGCTACAGCCATCTCCTCAGTTACATCAGATAAATCAGGGAGCCTCTCACTTACAGATACCTTCAGCTCTAGGAAATCAACATGGCACTCAGGGGTATGCAGCTCAGGTAAGTCAAGAACAAGTTGTTCCTGGACCTATGGGGCCTCAAGCATTGCCTGTACAACAGACTAATGGAAGAATGGGAAACATGCAGGGTGTTTATATCAAGGAAGAACCATCTGAATGACTGACACAATACTATTGCTTCGCTCACTGGTGTGAAACTGTTTTGTTATCTTCATACAAGGTGAATGTTTTACATGGATGATGAATGTTTTTAAGTGTCTGTAAAGAGTTGCACCTTAAAATGATAAAAATTTAGTTATGTAAACTATATATGATGGTTATATTTTGATTACAGAAGTGTCTGCCTGACAAGACAAGTTATGTTGTTTTGCTGTACAAATAAATTATTATTTAATTATTAAAACTATTACTAACATTTCATGCAGGCTTGCATACTTGATTAGCCAGATTACAAAATTTACAATACAATGTCTAAGCTTAATATTAATTTGCACCTGCAGTTAACAATAATATTTGAATTTGTGATGATCATTCAATTTTAGACATGTTAGGGAAGAAAACATCAAGATTAAATATTGAATAAAAATACACTAATGTTTTGATGCAGTTGTTTGTCTTGGGTTACACATGTTAGTGGCATATGTTATTTTGAGGGCTGCTGAATCATCCAATTTGCCGAAGCAAGTGCTGTACTGCGATACATACAAATTTCTGCTTATCCTTTGTGTTTTTGAAGCAGCATCAGAAATATGAATATTGTACCCACTAAGTGCTATTTTAATATCCATTTTGCTGTGGACCACTTGAAGATTTGTCAGGAATCTGTTCATGCTTTTAAATATCAGTTGAAAATACATCTTTTTTTCTTGAGCTTATGATCATATTGTCACTCTTGAATATAAACCTAAGTATTTCTTCATTGTTGTCACCTTTATGCCTTGATATGTGAGCGCTTATGAGTTTATTGAAAGAATAGGCACTTAAGACTAACAAAATCCCAAATTGTTATTTATTATTATTATTCATAATGTATGCCTTGTTTGACATTCAGTTGACATGGAATACAGTATTTTTCTTTTACATTATAGCAATCCACACCAGGTATTAAAACTGTAGTAACATGGAAGCACTCTATGTACTCCTTGCATATTTGTTTGTCAAAAAAATATGCTGCCAATATCTGTAGTAAGATGTTACAAACTACAGATTAAAATGAACATGGAAGTCACTACAGGAAACGGTAAGTACAATTTTGTAAGCCTAATAAGCTGATTTTAAGTGCATTTGGAATATTTATAAATCAGTGGCCACAAGTGCATTTGCAGTGTCTTGCACATTCGTGGCCTTGTGCATGACTGGGGGGAAAACACTCCTACTAAATGTTCCAAAAGCATAATAGTAGTACATTTCATTTTGATGTTTCCTACATATTTTAGCAATACACATGTTCCTCAGAAATCCTTACTATATATGACAGTAAATCCTCAGTATAACAGACTGATAGAGAGAAGCAGGGTTATAATTATTGACAGTTGTGGTGGATTGACGTGAAACTGGCTTGTCATGATGTACCAACAGACTTTGTCCTTTGTTTCTGAATAGCCAGCACTGCAGTTTTGTAATCTATTTCCAAAATCCATTAAATTGAGATCCTTTAAAACAAAGGTTTATTGCATATGTATGTAAGAAGGATAGAGGAGCAGGGAAGATTTATTAAGGGTAGGAAATGTGTAGATGAAGTGTTCTACATTAAAGCATATAAGTGAGCAGTACTTAAGGGTAAAAAGCTGTTTGTTGCATTTATGGATTTAGACAAGACATAGCAGACATGGAAGCCATGTGGCATATATTTCAAATGTATGGAATAGGAGGTAGGTTACTAATAACAGTTCAGAGTTTGTGCAGAGTGAGACTCGGGTTAAGATATGTAAGAGGGAGGTGGACCTGTTTCCCAGTAAAATGCATGATGTAACCATTGTTAACATAATTATACACGAGTTTGTAGAAGTGAATGCTAGGGTGTTGAGACGAGGTGTGGGATTAAAAGATGTTGGCCCTGATACAAAAATGGGAGTTATCACAGTTGCTGACGACACAGTTCTTATGTAGGATTCTGAAGACAGATTGTAAAGATTGATTGATGAATTTGAAGGGTATGTAAAAGAATTAAAAGTGAACATATAAAAGAACAAGGTGGTGAGGGTAACAAAAAGTCTAGGCAATGATAAGTTGAATATCCAATTGCAGGGAGGAAGTGTGGATGAAGTGGATGTACTGAGATATTTGGGAATGGCCATGTCAGTATATGGGTCTGAAAAATTAGGAACTGTTTGCCAGATGAGCCAGTGCTTGTCCAGCAAATTAAAAATAGCCTTCAGGAATCTCAACAGTCATTCTGGCCTTGTTATATAATGTATGTCAAGTCCGTCTTTAAATATGCATCACCAGCGTGGAAATCCGCACCTGAAAAGCATGTTAAGAAACTAGAGAAAGTGCTGAAGTATGCAACGATGCTTGTTCTAGAACTAATAGATATGAGCCAAGAGGAGAGGCTAGGAACTGAACCTAGTATTGGAGAGCACAAGGACCAGGAGAGACATGATAACATACAAAATACTCAGAGGAATTGATAGGTTTGACAGACTGTTGAGAGACAAGAAGCAGGCACTCCAGGACACCTGAAAGTTAGACAGAAGTGAGCCACAGGGATGTCAAGAAGTATTTCTTCGGTCTTGGAGTGGTTGGGTAGCAGAATGATCTCAAAGTAGGGAAGGCCGGTTTCATACATAGTTTTCAGAGCAGGTATGATAGTGCCCATGAGGGTAGGAGGGAGTGAAACTGGCAAGTGGCAGGTTGAGAGGTATGGCCAGGAGCTAGGCCTTAACCCCAGCAACCATGTATAGGCAAGTACACATACATGCATACAAATACATACTGTATTTTCTGGCATGTAAGGCATTTTTTGTTTTCCACAAAGTCTTGGAAGATCACCCCTTTTCCTTATATACTCAAGGTCAGGGTTGAGGGTAGGCTTTGGGGTCTGCTTTATCAGTTATTTACTAGTGTTGCATTACAACTGCTCGGAAACATCGTCTTATGTGCTCATGCGCCTTATATGCCAGAAAATGTGATACATAATATACATGTATATACTGTACATGCATATATTTACATATATTCATAGACACTGTATTTTCAACTTCGCATATTTTGAGAGAGTCACTTATTTACAGAAATGGTTGAGATAGATTATGGAAGATTCTGTTGTCATATCCTTTCACAGTGCTGGAAAAGTTTATAGATGCCATAGTAAAAATAAACATTTGGTATGGAGCCAATGTGTTGTTTACATTTGAATCACTTACAATTCATAGTAAAATTGTCATATGCAATTGTGTTTTGCATTAATATAATTGTCAGTCTGTTAGACTGACAATTTATTTACAGCAAAATATGGTTATCTTCATTATGTATGTGCCAACTGTTCACTCCTAGGATATTCACATTACAGTTCATTGAAGAAAAAGCATATCTTACCATTATTTATCAATGTGCTGTATTTTTTAATGCTTTAACTTTAATCCAGTGTAGATAACATTACTAGGTTTATATTTTATAACTAACGATACTAGAGCATTAGCCTCTGTAGTATTATATTTAGCAGGGGCATTTATAGATCAAATTTCAGCAGGAAATTCTCAATATTCCAGTCTATTTTTCAGGTTTCCAATTTAAATTGAAAAATGCAAATAACTATCTGTATTTTGTTATACGTATATAAAATGGTGTATTGTAAGCATGCCTGAGGTTGTACACGAGTCATCTTGTTTAAAGGCAAACCAAATACATTTCAAAATAAATGAATATACTGTATGCAATTAAAAAAAAGTCCTAGAGCTTTTATGATTATGTATCTACAGTTGTGTGTGAGTGAGATGAAAGTGTTGAATGATGATGAAAGTATTTTCTTTTTGGGGATTTTTTTTTTTTGGGTCACCCTGCCTCGGTGGGAGACAGCCAACTTGTTGAAAAAAAAAAAATCTACAGTTACATTTTCAAGGAATACAGTAAGCAATATTTTAGCAATATGAATTTTATGAGGATAATCTAGAGCATAGAAATTAAGTGTGGGGGATTATCAGAGGTACTCCCACCCTTTTATAGTATCCACAAACATCTGCTTCATACTTCTTCAGCCTACTCATTACCTATACTTTCACTAGCTCATCTTTCTGACAATAGTTGCTTATATTTTACCCTAACGACTTTTCACTCACTGGAGTCACAAAAATTTATCTCGTATATCTGTTGCCCTTCTATAAACATGCATATCCAGAAGTCTGCCTATCAACCATTCATCCACCAATACGTAGTCAAACAAACCATTGTCATTAGGCCCTAGATATCTCGTATTCTTATCCTCTTTCTTAAAATTTATATTGCTTATTACCAAACCTCTTTCTATACAAAGTTCAATCAAGGGCTTCCATTATCATTTACCCCTGGTACCCCAAACTTACCTATTATGTCCTCTATAACTGTTTCTCCCACTTTAGGATTTAGGTCCCCTACCAAAATTACTCTGTTCAAAACTTCCTAAACACTATTAACTCTCTCTCAACATTTCTCTTCTCCAGTTACATCAACACAGTATCACTCAATTTTTGCATCTTACCCTTATTTTAATTCACACAAACCTTGAATTTGTACATTCAAACCTCCCAACTTTAGTAATTTATACAGAAGAAATTTTTTTTATAAACATAAGAAGGGGTTACTAGCCCCTTGCTCCCAGCATTTTAGTTGCCTTTTATGACATGCTTGCCTTGTAGGTTCAGCACATTTTTATTATAATAATATGCTTGGCTTGAGGAAGGATTCTTCTTCACTTCCTCATGGAAGTGAAAGGAACATAAATAAGAATGAGAATTATATAGAAAATAGAAGAAAACTTAGATGATTGTTTAATGTGAAATATTTATTTTGACATGCACCATTTTAGTGATCACATTAAACCAGTGAATGTTATTCACTTCATGGCAGTTTAAATATGTTAGAGCAAGTGCCATTTTAATTAGGAATTGTTATAATCAAAAAGAATTTAATTAGGGGAAGCACTAAACCTAAAGGGGTCAGTGCCTCAAATGCAAAGAGGCATGTCCAATTTCCTGGAGCTTGAGCCCCCTCAAGGGAGGTTCCTTGATGTTAGCAAGGGGCTCTTGATCTGGGGAGTTGGATCTGTACTTCAGTTCCCCAAAGTAAGCCTGAGTACCTTCCATTCCCCCACCCCCCTCCTTCCACAGCTGTAGTATAATCCTACATAATCAAAAAGCACTAAACCACAAGGGCTATACTCCTACAATAGCCCTTGTGGCTTAGCGCTTCTTTTTGATAATATACTCCTACAGGTTTAGCACTCCTCTTGCCCACAAAGGATCCCTTGTGGGGTGATGCAGCCATAATGACAGTGTACAGGCTTTTAAACCCAATTGATAAAGTATTTTAAAAAAAAAAAATTAGAACCAACAACTCTTTACAGAAACTCAAGATTGAAGATGACAGTTATTGTAATGGTTGAACTTATGAAATGTGCTTCATTCATAGGAGGCACTGAAATCTAGTGTTACACCACCTTAGAGTGGAGAGTAAACAGGTTTGATCCAAGGAAGGATATCTCCAATTTAAGAACCTTTCACCAGAACTGTAGTGCTTACCCTTCAAGTACTACTTTAGGATTATTATCTTTGGGGTGGGGGGGATGCTGAACTCATAAGGGGGTCATACAGCACCTGGTCTAATGGGAGGCATTCAGGTTCTCTACAGGGAATGGGAGCACATGTCTAGTTCCTTATAGGTTTTTTTTTTTTTTTTTTTTTTTAACAACTTCGTGACCCACAAAGAAAAAATCCCCAAAACGAAAATACTTTCATCATTCAGGTGAGTGAAGAACTCAATATAAAAAGTGACCTGAAATAAGTAATGTTGGAAGGTCATGTATCCCTTTGTATTTTAACATGTTCCTGTGAAAGATCTGCTTAGAGCAGTGGCAGCTCAGCGCCAGTAATACCTGTACTATCATACTGCATCAAACTTCTATTTTTAATCTTCTTTTTCTCATTTCAACAAAAAATAATAAATTCGCTTAAATATATTGAAAACATACAACAGATTTGTCCTGCTTAATGCCTCAAATGATGTAGTGGAAGTTTTAGCAGTAAAGGTCGAGAACCAAAACCTAGTCATTGTGGTAGTCTACAAGCCTCCGGATGCAACATCCCAGCAATTCCAGGAACAGCTGTTAAAAATTGACCACTGTCTGGAAAATCTTCCAGCTCCTGCACCCAACATCTTGCTCCTGGGGGATTTCAATTAAGGCACCTAAAATGGAGGAATATAGCAAATAATATTGTTGCAGTAATAACACGAGGAGGCAGCTCTGATGAAAACTCACACTCACACGAGCTTTTAAATCTCTGCACAAAATTCAATTTAAACCAGCAAATAATAGAGCCTACTAGACTGGAGAATACACTAGACCTCATCTTCACTAACAATGATGATCTGATAAGAAATGTCACCATATCAAAAACAATATACTCAGATCACAACATAATTGAGGTTCAGACATGTATGCGTGGAGCCCCAGACCGACAAAATGAGACTAGTCACGAGGGAGCATTCACCAAATTCAACTTCAATAACAAACAAAGTGGGACCAAGTAAACCAAGTCCTAACCGATATAAGCTGGGAAGATATACTAAGCAACACAGACCCCAACTTATGCCTAGAACAGATTAACTCGGTGGCACTCGATGTATGCACAAGGCTTATTCCTCTTAGAAAAAGGAGGAGTAGATGTAAAATAGAAAGAGACAGGCGCTCCCTTTACAGGCAACAGAAAAGAACAGAGCGGCTAAAAGAGGTCAATATATCTGAAATGCGTAGGGAGACACTGGTCAGAGAAATAGCAAGCATCGAACTTAAGCTAAAAGAATCCTTTAGGAGTCAGGAATCGCGGGAAGAACTAAAAGCCATAAATGAAATCGAAAGAAACCCAAAGTATTTCTTCTCCTATGCCAAATCAAAATCGAGAACAACGTCCAGTATTGGGCCCCTACTTAAACAAGATGGGTCCTACACAGATGACAGCAAGGAAATGAGTGAGCTACTCATGTCCCAATATGACTCAGTTTTTAGCAAGCCGCTAACCAGACTGAGAGTCGAAGATCAAAATGAATTTTTTATGAGAGCCACAAAATTTGATTAACACAAGCCTATCCGATGTTATCCTGACGCCAAATGACTTCGAACAGGCGATAAATGACATGCCCATGCACTCTGCCCCAGGGCCAGACTCATGGAACTCTGTGTTCATCAAGAACTGCAAGAAGCCCCTATCACGAGCCTTTTCCATCCTATGGAGAGGGAGCATGGACACGGGGGTCGTCCCACAGTTACTAAAAACAACAGACATAGCCCCACTCCACAAAGGGGGCAGTAAAGCAACAGCAAAGAACTACAGACCAATAGCACTAACATCCCATATCATAAAAATCTTTGAAAGGGTCCTAAGAAGCAAGATCACCACCCATCTAGAAACCCATCAGTTACACAACCCAGGGCAACATGGGTTTAGAACAGGTCGCTCCTGTCTGTCTCAACTATTGGATCACTACGACAAGGTCCTAAATGCACTAGAAGACAAAGAATGAAGATGTAATATATACAGACTTTGCAAAAGCCTTCGACAAGTGTGACCATGGTGTAATAGCGCACAAAATGTGTGCTAAAGGAATAACAGGAAAAGTCGGTCGATGGATCTATAATTTCCTCACTAACAGAACACAGAGGAGTCGTCAACAGAGTAAAGTCTGAGGCAGCTACGGTGAAAAGCTCTGTTCCACAAGGCACAGTACTCGCTCCCATCTTGTTCCTCATCCTCATATCCGACATAGACAAGGATGTCAGCCACAGCTCCGTGTCTTCCTTTGCAGATGACACCTGAATCTGCATGACAGTGTCTTCCATTGCAGACACTGCAAGACTCCAGGCGGACATCAACCAAATCTTTCAGTGGGCTGCAGAAAACAATATGAAGTTCAACGATGAGAAATTTCAATTACTCAGATATGGTAAACATGAGGAAAATAAATCTTCATCAGAGTACAAAAATTCTGGCCACAAAATAGAGCGAAACACCAACGTCAAAGACCTGGGAGTGATTATGTCGGAGGATCTCACCTTCAAGGACAACATTTTATCAATCGCATCTGCTAGAAAAGTGACAGGATGGATAATGAGAACCTTCAAAACTAGGGAGGCCAAGCCCATGATGACACTCTTCAAGTCACTTGTTCTATCTAGGCTGGAATATTGCTGCACACTAACAGCACCTTTCAAGGCAGGTGAAATTGCCGACCTAGAAAATGTACAGAGAACTTTCACGGCGCGCATAACGGAGATAAAACACCTCAATTACTGGGAGCGCTTGAGGTTCCTAAACCTGTATTCCCTGGAACGCAGGAGGGAGAGATACATGATTATATACACCTGGAAAATCCTAGAGGGACTAGTACCGAACTTGCACACGAAAATCACTCACTACGAAAGCGAAAGACTTAGCAGACGATGCACCATCCCCCCAATGAAAAGCAGGGGTGTCACTAGCACATTAAGAGACCATACAAAAAGTGTCAGGGGCCCGAGACTGTTCAACTGCCTCCCAGCACACATAAGGGGGATTACCAACAGACCCCTGGCAGTCTTCAAGCTGGCACTGGACAAGCACCTAAAGTCAGTTCCTGATCAGCCGGGCTGTGGCTCGTACGTTGGTTTGCGTGCAGCCAGCAGCAACAGCCTGGTT